CCATCTGGTGCAACAGAAACTTACATCTGACCCCTGCCCCATCTGCCTGAAGGCAGAAGATGACACCCTTAGCAACTACTGTGTGATCCAATCACTGTACGCCAACAAGGCAGCTTGCAGACCCAGAGACCCCATTAGATTTTGGCTATAAAAACTCTCTCCTGCTGGGCCCGCCCCCCTCTTGCTCTCTCTTTCTTCTCTCTCACACACTCTCTCACCCCCTCTCCCCTTTTTCTCTCTTTCTTCTCTCTCTCTCTCACCCTGCTCTCTCTCTTCCTCTCTCTCTTCTCTCTCTTCCCTCTTTCCCTTCTCTCTCTCTCTCTCTCTCTCTCTCTCTCTCTCTCCTCTTCTTTTTCAATGCTGCAATAAAGATCTTTTGGTCACTCCGAGTGTTGTGGTCACTTTCCTTTCACATACTTCAGAAGTCTCTCAGGCCTCTAGACTTCAAATTGTGCTTTGTGAGGAATGAAATATTGTTTTGGTCAGGCAGGGCCAGCCCCTGTTTTTAGTTCTATTACTTTTAGGCATATGTTTTGGACCAGTCTAAGAGGATTTAGCCCACATCCAAGGCACCTTGAAAGGATGCACAGGTCCCTGTGTGGCCTTTCTATGAGACTATAGAAGCACAACTCTTCTCATTGAGGGATCATCAGAGTCAGGATTTTCATTTCTGGCTTTCCTAGGGTTGGGATGGCTTGGATGTAAGAGTTGACAGTTATTTGCACCTGTCATTTCCCCAGGGAAGTCAGGGAGGTATAGGAACTTATGAACAACTTCATGGCCACCTAAATTGCATTCTTGAGGCAATGAGAAGGGGCGATGAACTCAGCTACCTGTTGCTCCCACAGGTAGTGGCTTATGTCTGTGAGAGGGGGCCTACAGGTTGAGTCATCATGGACTGTTCTGCCCCATATTGACCACGAAGTCCATGTGCCAGCCTCCCATGGTTGTTTGGACCATAGGCTCCAGGGGGCCTAAGAAAATAGAGCCTGGTCTGTCCTAGTCTTCCTTATGCCTCCCATGGTGGCCAATCCAACACAATCATCCTCAGGGGCTTCATATGGTTGCTGTGTTTCTTGGTACCATCCTAAACCACTCGGCCTCTCTCCCTTCATCGAGGACTGGGCAATAATCCTCTGACTGTTGAGGACATTCGTTCTTCCAATAAACTTCTTGAGGGCAGCAAGCACACTAGTTCCTGCCTTACCTCACCTCTGGGGAGGTAGTCATTCTTTTCCAGCTCCTTCTCTGGCTTCAGCTTCAACCCAACAGGACCCCTCTCAGGGAGTGACCCAACCATTCCACTAGAGCAGCAGCAAGCAGATCTACCTTCCTCTTCCATTTCCAGTCTGCCTTACATCAGGGGTCTTGATCACAGGTGACAGATACTTTTGTCACAACCTCCTGTAGCTGGCTGTAGAGCAAAGCCCTCTAACTTCTGTAGTTTTTGCTGGATGTGTCCCTGGGCCTGAGTGACAAAGACTGCATTAACCATTTGCTAATTTTCAACTGCTTCTAGGTTGAAAGAATGGAACACTTCCCATAGCCTCTCATAGAACTGATTCGGGGTCTCTTTAAGTCCCTGGAACACCTCTGAGGTCTTGTTCATATTCATGGCCTTCTTCCCTCCTTTCTTCATGCCACCCAACAAAGAGCCTCTTGATAAAGCTCAAGCATCTGAAATCCCTCGTCATCATTAAAGTCTCCTCGGGGAACTTTCTCAGGGAATTGGTTCTGGAAGTATACCTGAATATTTATGGTTCCTGCTGGGGCATGTTCCTACAACTGCTTAACATGGCTTGGGTAATTCAGCAGCGTTCTTCAGTTAAAGTCCGGAGTAGCTGGTGGCAATCAGTCCAAGTGGGCTTGTGGGTCTAAATGATGAATTGCATAAAATCAATCATAGTCTGAGATTTCTCTGTGAAGGAGGGAGTATGGTTTTTCTAGTTCAGGAGATCTGTAGTGGTAAAAGGCTGATATATGAAGGTGCGTTGTCCCTGTTGCGCTTGGCCGTCTTGATAGTAGTAGATGGGTCCCTGGGTTTCTCTTAGTGGCATCTGTAGGGCACCTGGGCATCTCTTAGGAGGGGGTCTGCCAGAAGGGTCCTCCTGGTACTTCTTGGCTGGAGTATACCTAGTTAAGACAGGCAACTCCTGGGGTTCTATGGTCAGGAGTGCTTCGGGGGCCTCATGGCAGAGGTGGTCTTAGGGGTGTGAGCAGCCTCTGGTGGGATTCGGGCTGTAGTAGGTATATGCAGTTCAGGTGTCAGCAGAGCATACAATGGTGCATAAGGTGGGGAAATCTCCTCTGGCTCTCCAGATAGAATGAGCTTCTTGGGTTCCAGTCAGCATTTTGAGGGAGCCATCACCTGAGCCATCATATATTTAGTTGGAGTTGAACACAGTACTCTTATTTTATTTTTATGTGGTGCTGAGGATTGAACCCAGTGCCCTCGCATGTGCAAAGCAAGCGCTCTACCACTGAGCCACAATCCCAGCCCCTGAGCCATCATAATTTACAGTTCTCTTCCAGACAAGCCTTCAGCCAAAGCGGCTGAGAGAGGACCATGTCTTGCCATAAGTCAATGCAGGGGAATTGGTCAGGGTGGCCTGGGTCTCCTACAATAATCCCGAACACCTTGTTAACTCATTCTTTATCTAGTGAGCCCTCAGAAGGCCAAACTAATCTGAAAGAAGGCCAATCTATTTCACAAAAGTCCAGAGTTTTCCAGGAGTCAACTCCTATGGGACATCCCTTTTTTGAAAATTTTTACCATATACTCTAGGATGGGTAAATTTATTCTGTTTGCCACCCACTTCCTTCCCCTAAAAGACAATCACATACACAAGAAGGGAAAGGGGCAAGGAGTGAGCAATCACTTTGTCTATCTCCAGCCACTCCCCTCACAGAGGTATTTCAGGCACCTCTTAGCACTGGTGGGACTGTATAAACCCCAGTGTCAGGACTACTCTGAGGAGGGCCACCCTAAGCCAGGGACCCATGGAACAGGACTCCATATTCGCCCTGGCCCTGGATCCTGCTGGAACTCTCCCATGGCCCATCTTGTTCACTGACTCACACAACATCTCCAGCCCTCTGCCTAGTACCTTGGAGTTGTGGTTTCATCTCATATAATTGAGACTATTCTGGCAACTCTGGGAGGTGATCAGGCTCCCCTTCTGCCACTTAGGGGCAGGTTTACTTCTGGAACCATAATTCCTACCTGTCCAACAGGCAGTGCTCCCTGCAATGGTTCCTGGGCCCCATACCAGGTTCCTTTGTGCTCCTGGGGTCCTTGCCCCAACATGCCAGGAGGGCTACTCCCCTACGGATCTATTGCTGGCATGGGGTGAGGTCAGCTCTCTCAGTATCTCAGGACTTGCACCCCAGCATCAAGAGAGGGAAAATCACCATCTCCAAATCATGGACACAAGTCCCCAAGAATGGTGCAGGATTCTTGTACAGAGAGATGGGACACTCAGGGTCTCAGCCAGAAATCAGTGTTTACTAGCACCGGCAGTGGCCCAGTAGATTTACATCCAAAAGCTGAGCCCCAGGCACAGTGGAGCATTGCCGTATGTGTCCTGTTAGTTTCCCCTTTTCATGTTAGGCCCTTTGTCTCCCCATGTGGTTACATATATTCTGATTGGGTGTTCTATACTATGGAGTTGCAGCAGAACTGTGCATGCCCAACACAGGCATGGACTGTGCCACATCACCTTCCCTTTATTCTGGGAGAGCTCTTACCACAGTACCATCACCACTTGGACCTCTCTCTGGCACTTATAATCTCACCCCTAAACCTATTTATCCCCCAGACTTTCCTATCTCAATAAATGGCACCACTATCTATGCAATCACTGTAGCCAGAAACCTCAGAATAGTCATGCCTCCTCCTTTTCCTCGCCCAAACATCCTGCCAATCTCCAGTTCCTAATGTGTCATCTTCTGACCATCCCCACAGCTGCCCTTCAGCTGGGGCCACCCTGGGTCTCATCTATACCTCTACCACAGCCTTCTGCCTGGTGTCCTGCCATGTGTTTTGATCCGTCCAACTCTTTCTCTAAGTTGCAGTCAGACTGATCTTTCTGATATTCAGATTGAGTGAGTTCCCTTCTCTGATTAAAACTGTTCCCCGACTCATTGGAGTAGAAGAGTAACACTTGATATTAAGTCACACTCCACCAGTGAGTCTCAACACAAGATTCACTGAGCTGTCATTGAATTTACTGTTTTTCCATTAGTCTCTAGGCTCTATTGAACCCAGAAACTGAGGCACATGAGGACATCTCCACACCTACCCACAGCACCTGGCATGCAAGAGACAAAAAATGTGCAGTTTAATGGGTGGATTCATTTATAACAAGGCTTTGTAAACTGGGTAGTGACCTAGAAGGTGATCATGAAATCAATGTAGTAAATTAGAATCAACTTTCATCTAGAAAAGGAAAACAAATAGAAAAGTAAACAATAGAGGTATTATTATTTCATGAAATTTTTTATGATTAAAATGTATAAAATTATAATAAGTTGCAATAAAATAAAAATGAACAAGTACTTTTTTCCTATGGTGAGAAAAGCAGTTTTATTTAGGAAAAAAAAATCTGAAACCATTGGTACTTGAAAGATCCCTGCCCAGAGGATGTTGTACATTAACAGATTTCAAAGACTTAAATTTAAGGAATAAAGTGCCTACTTTGGAGTTCTAGGTTTCTGCAAGAAAATGGCAGAGGAATTTAAAATCCAGTTCAGATTCTGCCCGATGATGGCCAGAGGCCAGTTAAGGCTAGGAATGCTGTTTAATTCTATTTGCTCTGAAAAATGTATCTTAAGCTTATTTTGTCTCATGGCTGAGGTCTAAAGTGGAAACCTGCCAAGCACTGATTTGGGTCTTGGAGAATTTAACTGGTTGCTTCTACAATCTTCTCTCTGTAAGAGCAGAGTGCCCAAGCCAATGAAATCCTGCCATTCTGTTTCCATAGCAATAAAAGAAACAAACCTTCACCAGCCATCTCCTAAGAGCAAACCTCACCAGTCAGGCCCGAGTCAAAGGATCAAAACGAAGCGGATTACTTTCTCTTCTAGTTTGACTTCCATTGCAATAGTGAGAGATTGAACAGGACTGTCTCTAGAAGGAAAGTTGACATTCATGTTACTTCAGCCTTTGTGATTGGATTATCTGGAAGTCTGCCTCTGCATACTGTGGATTTCTGCTTTGACATTTCAACCACTTGGAATAAGCACTGAAGTCTTGAGTTCTGGAGCCTCTGGATTTGACCTACAATGAACTCTGATTTTCAGGGACTGAGGAATAGTTTCACTATAACATTGGGGTTTTTTTAAGACTCTTGACCTTGGAAGGAACCATTGGGAAAAACAAATCTTCAAGCAGTCCAAGGTAAGCTCTTTGGAAAAGATGGTTTGTGTGATTTTTCCCCCTTTGCTGGTTGTTTAACTATCGATCTCTCTCAAAGCTCTGTTTGCTCACTGGTGACTATGGTATTACTAACTGGCACATTTAGCATTCTGGGCCTCATGGAATTCATCAGAGAGAAATGTGGAAAAGGTAAAGAGGGGAAAAAGAATCCTTACACACACCCCCCCCCCCATACACACACACACTCCTATCTCAGAAACACCAAGTCACTACAAGTGAGAGCCATCTGTGCTGTTATGGCAATACCTACCAGGTCTCTTGTTACATAAAAAGAGCAGGTGTAGCAATAGTGTAAACAATTCAAAGACACACACACACATTCAGAGCATTTCTGGAAGGATACCCTTCTTAAAAAAAAAAAAAAAGACTGTTAACAGAGCTTCCCCCTTGGGAAGGTACTGGAAGTCAAAGCTTATGCTCAGTTGGAGGCACAGTTGGACATTGCCATGCTGATCATGGCTATTGCACAAGGCCCTCAAATGTCCTCCTTACCACCTTGCTTGTCTCAACTCCACCCCTACCCCCCAACACAGACCACCCTGTGGTTCAGCAATTGACTTGAGGTAGGAGGGCGTGGGCTCTTCCAGGACCATGTCACAGCACTACAGTCCGTTTTCATTGCATTTGTTCAATAACTTTGTCTTACAGGTTGTTAAATGTTTGGGTGTTCAGAGACAGAGGACTCTACTTTTTAATAGCAAATTAATAAACACCAAGGCATTGTTTATAATGAGGTTAAAAAAAGAAAATAAACATTCATCAATAGAAAACTAGTTAAAAATATAAATCAGTATATTCATAGAATAGAAATATATAGTCATGATGATATAGAAACAAATCTCTTTTTTTTTTAATATTTGCGGGGGACAGTACTGGAGATGAGTAACGACACTAGTCCTTTTTATTTTGAGACAGGGTCTCAGTAAGTTGCTGAGGCTGACCTTGAACTTGCAATCCTCCTGCTTCAGTCTCCCAAACCACTAGGATTACAGACGTGCACCTGACTCAGACATGTTTTAAATTATTTGCTTTAAATTAGTTGTAAAATAATCTGATGTTGGAGGAGTGGGGTGGGTATAGATAAATGAGATTAGACATAAGTTGCTAATCATTAAAACCATGGGATGGGCAAGTTCATTATATTTTCTGTACTTCTACATACTTAAAAAAAAAAAATTTCCAGGCTGTGGTTGTGGCTCAGTGGTAGAGCACTTGCCTAGCATGTGTGAGGCACTGGGTTCAATTCTCAGCACCACATATAAATAAATTAATAAATAAAGGTCCATCAACAATTAAAAAAATTTCCATTGTAAAAACTTAGGTTTGAAAAATACTGATATAAATCTATGGTTACTGACATAAAAGAAGCTTGTGGTATTGTAAAAAAAAAGTATATTCAGAATATAAGTATAGTTTGTTTCCAGTTATAGAATATTATATAGAATTCTGGAAAGCATTAACAAAAAATTTTTTTTGTTTTCTTTTTTTTTGGAGTATCAAGGATTGAATTCAGGGGCGCTCGAGCACTGAGCCACAACCCCAGCTCTATTTTGTATTTTATTTAGAGACTCGGTCTCACTTAATTGCTTTGCACCTCACTTTTGCTGAAGCTGGCTTTGAACTCACCATCCTCCTGCCTCAGCATCCTAGCCGCTGGGATTACAGGCATGCTTCACCATGCCCAACAACCAAAATGTTTTCAGTGGTCATCTCTAGGTATTAGTATTTGGGATATTTTTCACTGCCTTAGGCTTCTCCATTATGACTTTCTTTACAATAAGTCTATCACACACACACATGCAAATAAGAATATTCTTAAAAATGTAGAAATAAAAGTTTCTATATGCAAAATGCCACTGTGGGGTTCATGATATTCCTAACTTCTGTCATTGGTTCTTGTGTGCAAGGCAGTGTGCCAAGAGCTCTCTCAACATGGTCTCATTGTGTGGCAGTGAATGAGGCATGAATTCCCATGGTCCCCATTTTGTAGATAAGGAAACTGAGACTCAGAATAGTAAGTTTCTTGCTGTCCCACTCCTAGGCAGGGAGCCTGTATGCAAAGTCAAGCCCCTCTAATTTCAATGTCCAGGCAGAATTTCAGTAAAGACTTTTATGTTTAGAGGGGTGCTAATACTGACATTCTAGGCCAATTTTTATTTTTTTAATATATTTTTTTCTAACATTTGCTCAGATAGGTGCATACTTTCACATAATTGTATTGCATATGTATCATTTTCTCTTTTTCTCAAAGGCACTTTGTTTTGTCTTGAGGTTTTTTTTGTTTTGTTTTGTGGTGCTGGGCTAGAATCCAGGGTATCATACATGCTAGACAAGTGGTCTACCACTGACTCCCACCTCTCCACAGATTTTATTTTATTTATTTATTTATTTTAAAGAGAGAGTGAGAGAGAGTGTGTGAGAGAGAGAGAGAGAGAGAGAATTTTTTAAAGTTTATTTTTTAGTTTCCGGCGGACACAACATCTTTGTTTGTATGTGGTGCTGAGGATTGAACCCAGGCCGCACACATGCCAGGCGAGCGCGCTACCACTTGAGCCACATCCCCAGCCCTCCACAGATTTTAATATTTATTTTTTTGACAGACACAACATCTTTGTTTGTATGTGGTGCTGAGGATCGAACCCGGGCCGCACACATGCCAGGCGAGCGCGCTACCGCTTGAGCCACATCCCCAGCCCCTCCACAGATTTTAAATAATTGTTTAACATTTATGTAAAACTCCACACATACAATTGACCTATGCATCCTGGGTTTTGACGCCTAATATTTAATATTATCTAGAATACTGTAATGATGATTATAACGCTCTGGCATTTCCATCTGTGGATTCTTTTCTTCCTGTTGAGCTGGTGCCTATGGTTACAATGACCCAAGTTACTACTCAGGTAAAATATATTCATCTAACACAACTCACATTGCTGGGCTCAGTGGGCAGCACAGAGCAAGCCATGGTGGAGGCCTGGCCTTCAAGAACTGCAAGTCCAGTTGAGCAGGCAAAACATGGAAGAGGGAGGGAAGCTGCTAGGAGCTGGCCTGCTTGGCCTTTCACTTCCTGTCCCGGGGATTCCTGCTAAACCCCCTAGGTTCAGGGTCAGCACCTTTCTTTATTGTGTCTAAGCAGAAGTAAAGCTGCTTTCTTGCCACTGCAGCAACTTCCTTCCCAACTCTCACCTGCATCCTAGCCCCTGTGGCCTCCTCTTCTCACCAGGGTTCTCAGCCACATCGGCTTCTCTGACCTTGTCTGCTTGACTTTCACTGACATGTGATATCTCCTGACAGGGCCCCCAGGCACAGTGAAGAATGGATAGCTATACATGGCAGCTATGCATCTTCAGGCCTGGCCTCCTTTTTAGCCTTGGCTTCTACTCCATGTAGGCCCCTGGTCCTAGGCCCCTGGCCCACCACCTCCACTTGCCCTCACTGCCTGTCTTCCAAGGCCAGGTCCCACTTCTGCACCCAGCCAGCTCAGATCACTGTGCTGACTCTCCACTGACTGCAGACTCCCCAAGGACAAGGCCCAGGTCTTCCTATCCCTCAGTGTTTAACAGAGTGCTCACAGCACTGGCTGTAAGTATTTATGCTGTTAAATCAGCATTTACAAGTGGGCGAGTGGTCCCCTCCCATCTTTCTTTCTCAGTGTCATCTGTAAAGAGACCTAATCTTCAAGTCCCCTATAGCTCTAAAAGTCCTTAGACCAAGTGCCTGAGTTTCTCATGCACCAATCATGTTAAATAAAAAGATTTATTCTTTCATTTTTCAACTTACACAAATTTATTCCATTGTAGTGTTAAAATCAGCCATTGTCTTAGAAATTGAAGTTTTTAATCTACCAGCATTTTAAAAGTTCTATTGGGTTATCGGTTTTCATAACATTTTGGTATTTGTTTCATTTTTAATGAAATAATCTGCTGATGTCACTTAAAAATCAAATAATGTTAAAAACACATTGAGGAAAAGTCCCAGTCTCTGTCTCACCCTTAACCCCTGCCAGTTGTATTCCTCAGAATGCTCCTGAGAGGCAATTATTTTCAACTCTTTTAGCTATTTCTTTTGGAATTTAACCTCATGCTTCTAAACAATTTTGCCTTTTTCGTGCTGGTGCTGTTGTGATGCTGGGGATGGAACTCAGAGCCTCATGCATGCTGGGCCAGGGCTCTACCACTGAGTCACACTCTCAGCCCACTTTGTTAATTTTTCAATTTTCCACCTTCTCTATTAATTCCTGGTATATTAAACAAGGATTTAGCTGCTACACATTCTCCTTCTATTTCCCTCCCCCATTCTTCCAGTGAAATCACAATTCACTTTTTAATATTAAGTGTCTACATTCATACATATGAATGTGTACCTTGCTACGATTATGTTTACTTTCTTATACAATATTTTTTAACCAAACATGTTGCTGATCCCTTTTGCAATTTTGTCTCCTTTCCCATATTCTTGCGCTCACAGAATTAAAACTCTCTTAATTCTCAATTATTTGAGCAGGGTTCTGCAAAATAATGAAAATAAATAAGAGTGGTTAAGGCTTTATGCTTATCTGAGAGTTGTCTTGAATGCAGCCCTTCATGAAAGGGAGTCTGTCTTTATGGAGACAGGAAGTGGAGTTTTCAATCTAATTCAGGCAGGTGACCAGGTGAGATTGCATAGTAGCTTGATTGACAGCTAATTTTCCAGAAAATTCTATGCAGGTCCTGCTGTGCGAATTTCTCCTCACATCAGTGAGAGCCAGAGTGGCCTGAGGGACGAGCAGGAGCTTAGGAATCAGGGAGACTTCTGTTTGTTCCCAACTCTGCAACTTGCTATCTCTCTGACCTCTCTGAATATCCTCATCTGTAAACCTGAGATAGCAAAATTGAATACTTACTGTGTACTTGCATCACAGTAAGAACTCAGTTCTGGAAAATTTTAAATTGCTTTCAAGTCAAGTCTATTGGGTAGCAAGAAGGGAGGTGTTATTCTATCCTCAAGACCTGACACCAGATCAGCAGCTTCTGAAGTCATCTACCATTATTCTTTGGGTCCTTCCCAGTTTGTCCCTAGTTTTGCTTTGATTCTAGGTGATGTAACTTTCTGCTGTTGTTTTCTCATTTCAGCAAAAACCTTCTAAAAGATCTAGCAGCCAAGGCTGCTCCTGACCTGGGGACATGTACCACAACCCTCTCATCTACTGTACCTGCTGGGACCCCTGGAACTTGGGACCACGGAAGCTAATCAAGACCCTTCAGCCACCAAACAAGGCCCCTACCAGGAAGTCCAAGTAAGGATTAACTGGGATGGGGTAGGGGCAGAGGGCTTGGGTTTCATTTGCTGCCTTCTTCTTGTCACAAGTTTTCAAAAATAGTAAGCTTGGCTACAAAATCCCAAATGGGCCAGAAAGCCTAGCTTCACACAGCCTTCTGTGCCAGCCTGGCGGAGGCTACACGCTGATCTCATCAGTCCTGCCTGAGGCTCAGTGTTGTTTTAAATGAGGACATCTCAGCGTTGGTGCGACAGGGAAAATGCAGCTTCCGACTGAGAATCTTTGGTGGCAGCTGTCTCCTCCCTCTAGGACAAGAGCTCTGGGGGATGAGCTGGGCTGCTAACTTGGGGACTCCCCAGAACAATGGACAAGTGCCAGGGCCTTGGGTCTGAGGTCTTAAAGGCCTCAGATCTTCAAGATAGCAGTTGTCAAGCCATATATTTCAATTTTGGGTCCTGTGAGTATGTACTTAATGGAGAGTATTGAAACGGGTTTTTGAATTTCCGTGGTTCTCTTTTTGAGTTACTTATTTTTCACTTTTAGGTTAACTCCTCTTCTACCGGCTACAAAAGAACAGAATTACCTCCAATCCCAACCATCAACAAAACCTGTTGATGTCCCAAAGTACGTATTTCTGGATCTGGGAGGCAGGAATGGTTTGGGGCATGTGAATGAATTAATTCCCAACATGCCCGGACCTGCCTGACTTGAACTAATCTGCTTCCAAGGACATCAGAGAATTGTCAGAATCCATTGGAACTTCCCTTAAAACTTCAGGCTCTGTGGGCAAATCCTATAGTCCTCCGTATCCATAACTCCTGAAGTCACTACAAGTGAGCTCTCAGCAGGGAAGCCCCCCTTAGCTCTTTCCTGCTTTACAAGGGACCATGCTTTTCACAGTTCTGGAAACTTGGTGAGCTCCCATGTAGTTATGGTGGTGACTCACCTTCACTGATTATATTCCTGCACCTAAAGATTCTCTGTAGATAGCCTCTCTGTTTTAATCACATTTGACAAGCTTAGAAGTGTGACTTAGTTTTAGGTCTTTTCAGAAATCTTTGTATATCATTTCTTTATTTGCTTGGAAAATGTTTACTGAGCACCTGTTATTTGTCAGGGGCTGTTTGGGGTACAGGGGACACAGCCATGAACACAATGTGTCCCCTCCCTTGAGCTTTCCAGTCTAGTGGGGGTAGCGACACTATAGAGAAAAATAACGCAGGCCAAGGGAGTAGGGGGTGTGAGGGTGCCGTTGTTGTCCACAGGGAGGTCAGGTCAAGTCCCTGTGTTAAGGGGATGGCTGCAGCCACACTGATGTCTGGGCCAAGTGCTCCTGGCAGATGGAACAGCAAGACAGAGGCCCTGTGTGGGCACTTGCTTGTGTGTCTGGCCTCTTCCAAGAAAGGAAAGAGGTCAGGATGGCATGAGTGGAGGGGGAAGTGGTGGAGATGAGCTCAGGGACCGGAAGGAGATGATGTGGTAGAACAGACAATGCTCATCCCCCACGGCTGCCTTCCAGAGATGTCCACCTTCTAATCCCTGGAAACTATAAATATGTTGTGTAGTTGCCAGGAGGAGTTAGGGTTGCTGATGAAATTAGGGCTGCTAATCAACTGACCTTGAGTTGGAGAGACTATCTTGAATTTTCCAGTTGGGCCCAGTGAAATCGGAAAGGTCCTTTTACATGAAAGAGGAAGTCAGAATGTCAGAGTCTGAGGAAGAAATATGACAACAGAAGCACAGGTTGGAGTGAAGTGATTGTTAGTTTTGAAGTTGGAGGAAAAGGCCACTAGGGACCCAGGAAGCTTCTAGAAAAAAACAGTTCTGGTGACCCCTTGATTTTAGCCCAACGAGACTCATTCAGACTGCAGCCCCCCTGAGGCTGTGCCTCAGTGGGTTCCCCAGTGTCTTCATCAGCTTCTTCACTGCTGTGACTAAAGGATCTGACCAGAACAACTGTAGAGGAGAAAAAGGTTATTTGAGGGCTCATGGTTTCCGATGTCTTAGTCCATAGAAGGCTTGCTCCATTCCTCGGGGGTCTAGGTGAGGCTGAACATCATGGTGGAGAGTATGGTGAAGGGAAGCATCTCATATGGTGATCAGGAAGCAAAGAGAGACTCTCCACTCTCCAGATACATAGCCACGCCCCCAATGAACCACCTCCTCCAGCCACACCCCACCTGCTTCCAGATACCACTCAGTTAATCCCATCAGAAATTAGTTCACTGATTAGGTGAAGGCTATGACCCAATCCTTTCTTCTCCAAACCTCCTTGCATTGTCTCACACATGAACTTTTGGAGAACACCACATCTAAACCATAAAACCCAGCCACCCTGGGAGTCCCCTAAAATTCAGATGACCAGAGCTCCAAGAAGAAGGATCAGATGATGATGTATCAGATGCAGCTCCTAAACTTTGGGCTTGCCTTTGCCCTCGTTGTTTTCTGAGCACTTCTTTCTCTTGCAGAGTGAAAACCAACGTAGGAAGGCAAGAGGAGGGTTGTAAGTCACCTTATGTGAGTACCAACGGGACAGGGTCACAGGACATTGATCCAGCAGTTGCCCAGTAGGCCCAGGTCTCTTACGCATGCTGTCTTCCTGAATTTTTGCATGCTCCTAAGAGGAGTGCTGTTATCATTGCACAGCATGTGTCTGGTCAATGGCGGAACCACGACTTAGCCTGTCAGGCATTTGCTTGCCACTCTATGCTCATGCAGGACAAGAGTCCCAGGGAAACCCGACAGTGACAGCTAGTCCAGGCCAGGGTGTAGCTCATGCCCAGGTGCAGGAAGCCTCTGCAGGTGCACAGGAAGCCACAAATCCCATGGCAGGGGCTGTCAGGACACCTGAAGGGACCAGCAGTGAATGCTGGGGAAAGAGATGGAGAGCAAACCCAAAAGGCTCTTGACACCCGCCTTGGAGTGTGGGCCTGATCCCTGCTCTGCACAGGAGCGTTTATGGGTCTGACACAAGCACAGAACCAGGTAAGAATTACGTTTTAGGAGTGGGGTTGTGGCTCAGTGGTAGAGCACTTGCATAGCATGTGTGAGGCTCTGGGTTTGATCCCTGGCACCAAAATAAATAAATAAATAAACAAACAAACAAACAAATAAAATAAAGGTATTGTGTCCATTTACAACTAAAAAAAATTACATTTTAGAAAATGTGCCCTCTGATAGGATATTATGGGAACCTTTTGCTATTTTTCACTTTGCTTCCCTCCCGCCACCATACCCCACAAGAACCATGCACTCCTTAATGACCAGGAAGTAAAACACACAAAAACATAATTGCCTCTCCAGGAGGAGAGGATGATGAACTTAGGGAAGTGATTCTGAAGACAGAGAGGCCAGCTGGGAGGGTATCGTTAGAAACCGAGTAAGATGCCTACGGCCTTGGGTGATATCCAGGTGGGTGTAAAAGAGAGGGCCAGGTGGAGATGCTCTAGGAGATAATGACAAGGGGCCTCAAGGTCATTCGGCAGCTCCAGAAGCAAGGATCTCCTTCTGGTCCACACCAGCTGGTAGCCCTGCCAGGAATCTGACTTGGCATCTCGTATGGGAAGGAGAAAAAACTGACATTTTCGTTTTGTTTTTTTGCAACCATGCTAGTCATTTCTTTATGTTGTTTTACTTTTCCTCACAAAAGCTCTTTGAGAGAGAATTATTACCCCCATTTTTCAGATGAGAAAACTGAGACACAGAGATGTTAAATAACTAGAGATTGGTGGCAGGTCTGTTCAATTCCAAAACCTGAGCAGTTTCCACAATGGCTCCATCCAGCATGGAGAATGCAGCGGAGGAGCAGTTGAGCATTGGGATTGGATCTCACAGATCTGAGGGTGAATGGTAACTGGGGGAGGGTGCAGAAGGTACTTGGGTCCTGGAATCCCATCTCATGACTCTATGTTTCAGATGATAAGACAATGGTAGACTTGGAGGACTCTCAGGGCTCTAAGTCTGTAATTTTACTTTATCTTCTCCATTGGTGCTCAGGAAGTGATCAATGTGTCACCTGGCTATCAACTTGCCCGGAATCGGGAACAGATTTCTGTCACCTTGGGGGATGAAATGTTTGGTAGGAAAAAGCGGTTGGAATCTGAGATGATGGACAAATTCAACATGTCCAGGTAATGTCTTAGGACCAGCATCCAGCTCCTCTCAGCTATCCCACCTGGCCTCAAGGACAAGCCTCTGATATCCTTGCCTGGGCCACTGGGCCACCTCTCTTCTGCCCCCTGTTTCCCAATGCTGCTTCTCTCCACACCCATCTTGCTCTGTTCTGATCCCATCCATGAGTGAATCCAGAGGATGGGATGAAGATGGAATTAGTGTGATTCATACTGAGGAGAGTGATTGTTCCTGTGGGTGAGAAACAGGTGAAATATTCATGAATGAGTCTAGATTTAGAGTATGTAAATTAGGAGTAAAATCAGGTTTTGGAAGACTCAAGTATGCACTTCTTCTTTCACTATAAATAGTCTAAAAATACCACTCAATTCATGCCTCTGGGAAATACAAAGTGGAAAGTTCCCAGCGCCATTCCATTGAGCACGGTCATCTTCTGTCACTGAAGCCCACCCTCTCGCTAGCCTCCAATGCCATACCAAGCATACATAATCCCACACCTGTTAATTCTACCTCCTCAATTTCTCACTCCTATCTTCCTTCCTCACTACCCTGAGTTCAGGCATCCTTACTTCTTACCAGCTCTACTCTGAGTGTCTTTTCCTTTAGGCTTTAGTCTTTTGTCAGAATTATTTTTCTAGACAGACATCTAAAAGACCAATAACAGAAAACAATAACAGAAAACATACACGCCTTCATAATCACTTACCCATCTGTCAGTGTGTAGAAAGGACACAGCCAAACCATTAGTAGGGTTAGAAGAGATTCAGGTTGAGGGTCAAACTGTGCTTTGGAGTTGCCCAGAGTCCTCTGACCTGGCCCAGAAGCCAGACCAAGTCCCCGTCTTCCCATCCAGTGGGGTTATTCCATCTCTGCCCTCTTTTCTCTGCTCATTCACAACCCTCAGCAGGAAGAGAATGGGTCATGTACATGTACTTGCCAGTCACACTAATACCCACAGCTACTTTGTGGCCTCCTAAGAAGTTTGCCACCAGTTGTGTCATAATAAAACATAATAGCCCATGCTTGTCTCATTCCCTGGTAAAGCTGTCTGCACATTCCTTATACTGAAGCTCATGTTCAGAAGACAAGGGTTCTGTATTGTTCGACTTTCTCAGATCCTGTTACCCTCCCCCCAGATCCTGTCTTGTTTTCTTACCTCACATGCTTTCATGCCCAGTTAGACATAGAGGAGTGTTTGGCCAAGTGAACTCCCTTCAGTTTCACTGCACATAGCATTACTTGCTACCCTGTTTCCTCTGGCTCAACCAGATAGAACTGAATAATTTATACATATCATGGCAGCCTCAGGCCCACAAACACAGTAAATAATTATCTATTCTGAAAGTCACTCTCTTAACTCCTCTCTTAGTCCTATTTCTGGCCCATTTCTTGTGTATGATTCACTGTCCGCATGAATCCTACTCCCCGCCTTCTCATTTCCTAATCCTCTGAGCTTAACCCTGCTGCATTTCAAATATCATGATCAAGTCAAGGTCAAACCCTAATCAATGTCAGACATACTCCTATTTCTCTTTACTCAATAGGGTACCAAACCACCCTGCTCCCTTCTGGCCAGGTCACCCAAAAGGCTAGATCTGAGGTTCAATCACTCAACTGCAACCAACCTTCTCCAAGAGCACCCCTCCATTCTGTCACGCCTACCTCATAATGGTGGAGCTAGTACAGAAATGACCTGGTTCTAATCATCCCAGGGGCCTGACTGGCCTGTAATGAATTGTAAGTTCTGTAGATGATAGAAGAATTACTTCTCCCACAGGACCAATATAATTAGTGACCTTGAAGAGCAGATCTCAGAGCTGACAGCATTAATAGAACAGATGAACAGAGATCACCAGGCTGACCAGAAATTGGTGAGTGATCCTTGCATTAGCCAACATCTTTCTGGATGGGGTAAGACTAATATTTTCAGATCACCAATGTGCCAGGCAAGACGCCAAGCACTTTATTCCCATGAACCATATTATCTAGATGATAGAACTCTGAAGATAGGACCATGCAACTGATAGTATCTCTTTGACTCCATCTTCATCCATAACAACAAGCACTCAAGGTTTAGCTTGTTCATTTCTGGGAGTTCTCCAGGTGTCTTTCAGGTATGCAGTGAACCTCCTCTCCATACTAGGGGGCACTGGTCACTCCTCATCTGGCCTTTGTGGTGAGATCAGCTTCAGAGGTTGCCAGGATCTTACCATTTTCACCCACATGGAGGAAACTTCCAGTGTTGCTCAAATCTTCCTGGAGGCCTCCAGTGCCCACTCTGTTGCTATTAAGCTGTTAAAGGTCACTCTTCAGAATCATTTCTATATGAAATCATTTTTATATGCTTCCTGGGATCTGCATAAGTGATACTTCTTTAGATTGTATTACCCATTACATCATGGTCTCTTTTTCCCCACCTCAAGCAGATATGCCTGTTGGTCTGGGATAGAATAATAGAATAGAATTATGCTCAAAAATATCATCCCCAGTGTAATTGACACAAATTTGTGAGATTCTACCCCCCAGCAGGCAACCTTTCACTCTCTGGTACATCCTAGGTATGTCCAAATCCTACAGGAACCCAGCTTATGACCCAGGCTGAGATGATCTCCACTACTGATTCATTATCTTATTTATCTGAAAACTCTCCCAGGTTGATGTGTCCTTCTACAGAAAGAATATTGAGGCTCAGGGAAGTTTTATCATTTGTATAAGGTCACAGCCCAACAGTAGTGTGTTGTTGGGTAACATGCACATTGTGACTTATAAGCACAGGTCCTGCTGAGGACAAACATGCAGAGACTGTTTCCACGGAGGGACCTAGATTGTGATCTTGAAAATACCCCACTTTGGGGAACATCCTAATTTGTGATGTGATCCTGTGGAGGAGACGTGCTGGCTGCCATCATGCTTGTCACCCCTGGGGCCTGACCCCTTGGTTGTACCAGGCAGTCTCTGGCTCCTCGCCTCTAGTCAAAGACATTAAAGTCTTATCTCAGCTGACTGTTGTGACACTGACCAGAAGATCTGGTGTGTTAGAAGGGAGTCACCTTAAAGTAAGCAAATCCTGTCTGCTGGAACCCCACCATGCTATCCACAGGACGGGATAACACTAAACCTTAAGTTCCTTAAAATCAGCATCTAAGTGTTAGTTCTGGGCCAAGTCCTTTGCTCAGTAAAGGATCTCTCAATTGAGTTATTTATCCAGAAACCCAAAGGCCAGTCTTACAAAGAAATGACAGTCCAGCAGAAGAGACCAGACCAATCCACAAAAATCAATTAATCAAAGAGATGGCCTCCATGCACCAACATTATGCACTGATTAAGTACAAAACAACAAAGAGTAAGGCAAGAATTGTTTCATTCCCTTGATAATAGCATGTTCTCTGATATTGCAAAACACAAATAGGGGAAGTGAGGGGTGGGAGGCATCCCCTGTGATTTGGAAGACTTTTCAGAAGAAGCAAATCAGAGTGGGGCCTAGGTTTTCAACACAGTGTTGTTTAATGATGACTTCATTTTCAGCTTTTTAATGAAATGGAACTCCAGTGTGCTGAGATGAAACAGAACTTTGAAAACAAGAACAGGTATGCTTTCTAGCATGATCCCTGTGTGCTGAAGGCCTTAAGGCTTCTGCACCGTCTACAGAATTTCGATTCTCTGGGACTTGAGATGGTGCAAAGTGGAATCAGAGATTGTGGATCAGTGAGATGAGTAAAGCATGAGTCACTGGACAGCAGGATGGCCTAATTTGAGAGCACTAAAATGAAGCACAGAAAAGCTATTCCTGCTCTTGTATTTTGTCATCCATGTTTTTTTGCTTTGATTATAATTTTTTTGTTTGTTTGTTGTTGACAGGAGCCATTTTTGTTCTCTGAGATTTCAGAGAACCTTTGTGAACCATTTGTTCTCAGCACATTCTTCTCCTTTTCCTCTTCCTTCTTTTTCTCCTTTTCTTATCTCTTCCTGGCTGCTAGGTTGAAACCTGGGGAAACTAGGAAGAAGGGAGAGAAGGAGAAATTGATTGACAAATCAAGGGGAAATGAAAAGGAGGTGTGTTGTCTGTGGGAGTGAGGAGAATCTCAAAGTTCCCTTCTAGGCTACCTGCTGAGTCCCAAAGCAGCCTCAACAATCCTGGTGGAGAGAGCACTCCTAGTTGAGTCACACATAGCCTTTTGATTGTTAGCTACTTTTTAAGAGATGTTTTAGGTTTTTCACAAAATTGAGGTTAAAGTCCAAAATTCCCATGTACTGAGATGTCTGAATAGTATATTACAGTTTTGTTGTATATGCTTTTATTTTTACATTTTTAATTTTATTTATTTATTTATACTTTTACTCTATATATTTCCTCTCACTTATTTGTTTCTTTGGAGTATCTTTCTGTCTTTTCTCTTGCTAACAGCTAACTTCATTTGATTCCTTCTTCACTCTTCCTATAATCTAATACCTCTACATTCTCACTTCCTACCTCATATACATCACATCCTATACCCCCTTCTTCCGGTTCTCTCTTTGTCCACCATTAGAAACTTTTGTATTTATTGTAGCTGATAATAGCACACATCATTTCTGTTTATTAGAACAAAACTATAATCATTTAAATTGAAGCCATTTTATTTATGGCTGCAAATTGTTTGCATTGATCTCTCCCTGAAAGGTGAGGTATTGGAAACCTGCAGGGACACTATAAGTCTATAGGGTAGAAACTGTAATACTTTGGATCCACATTGCTAGAGTGGAAGACACACGAACAACATGAAAACGCAAGGGAAGAAAGTGCCCCAAACAAACCAAGATACTACAAAAATAGAATGCATTGACAGCAGTAAAATAAATATCAGAGAATGAGTTCAGAATGTACATAGTTAAAATGATTTGCAAAGTAAAGAATTATATAAGCAAGCAAATACAAGAAACAAAAGATCACTTCTGTAAAGAGATAAGAGAGCAAATATGGATAGCAAAAGATTACTTCAAGAAAGAGATTCTGAAAAAAAAACAAACAGAAAATCTTGAAATGAATTAAACAATAAACCAAATTAAAAATTCAATAGAAAGCATCACCAACAGACTAGATCACTTGGAACACAGAACCTCACTCAATGAAGACAAAATATATAATCCTAAAAATAAAGTTGACCACATAATGAAGATGGTAAGAAACCATGAGCAGAACCTCCAAGAATATTGAGATAACATGAAAAGACCAAATTTCAGATTTTCTGGGATAGAGGAAGGTACAGAGACATAAGCCAAAGGAATGTACAATTTTTTCAGTGAAATAATATCAGAACATTTCCCAACCCTGAAGAATGAATTAGAAAATCAAATATAAGAGTCTTACAGGATACCAAATGTACAAAATTATAACAGATCTACACCAAGACACAGTATAATGAAAATGCCTTCCATACAACATGAAGATAGAATTTTAAAGGTCTCAAGAGAAAAGTTTCAGATTACATATAGGGGGAAAAAACCCATTTGGATCTCAGCAGATTTCTCAACCCAGATTCCCAAAGCTAGGAGGTCCTAGAATGACATATACCAAGCTCTAAAAGAAAATGGATACCAAGAATCTTATATCCAGCAAAATTAAACTTCAGATTTGCTGAAAAAATAAAAACCTCCCATTATAAACAAAAAATTAAAAGAATTTACAATAAGAAAGCCTGCACTATAGAACAATTCTCAACAAAATATTCCATGAGGAGGAATTGAAAAACAACAATGATAATCAGCAAAGGAAGGAATTACACTAAAGTCAAAGCTAATCTAAAGAGAAACCAAGTCAAGTTCAAAATCAAAAATAAAACAAAATTACCGGGAATACAAACCATATTTCAATAATATCCTTGGATGTTAATGGCCTAAGCTCATCAATAAAAAGACACAGACTACAAGATTAGATTTTAACAAAGACCCAACAATATGCTGCCTTCAAGAGACTCATCTCATAAGAAAAGACATCCACAGACTGAAGATGAAAGAATGAAAGAATGGACTATGTAAACAAGCAGGGATTTCCATCCTCATATCAGATAAACTGAACTTCAAGCCAAAGGTAATCAGAAGGGATAAAGAAGGACATTTTATACTGTTTAAGAGAATCATACATCAATAACACATATCATAAACATTTCTGCCCCAAACAATGGAGCATCTACATACATCAAGCAAACATTTCTCAACTCCAAGAATCAAATAGGTCACAATACAATAATACTGGGTGACTTTAACACACCTCTCCCACCCCCTGGATAGATCTTCCAAACAAAAACTAAACAAACTATAGAACTTAATAATACAATCAATAATTTAGACTAAACAGACATATATAGAATATTTCATCCATCAATAGAGAATACACTTTATTTCTCAGTAGCACAGGGATCTTTTTCTAAAATAGAGCATATGTTATGCCTCAAAAGCAAGTCTTAGCAAATACAAAGAAATAGAGATACTACCTTGCATTCTATCAGATTATAATGTAAGGAAATTAGAAATCAGTTATAAAAAATAAAAAATAGAAGCTATTCCAACATCTGAAGACTAAATAATATGCTAGTGAATGAACAATGCATAGTAGATGCATCAGGATAAAAATAGATAAATAGATAAAAAATATTCTTAGAGGTAAATGAGAATAGTGATACAACATATCAAAAACTCTGGGACATTTTGAAGGCAGTGCTAAGAGGAAAGTTTATTGCACTGAGCTCATTCATTAATAGAATAAATGTCAACAAATAAATGACCTAATATTACATCTCAGAGCCCTAGAAAAATAAAAATAAATCAATACCAAAAGTAGTAGAAGATAGGAAATTATTAAAATCAGAGCTGAAATTGATGAAACTGAAACACAAGAAACAATTGAAACAATAGACAAAAGGAAAAGTTGGTTCTTTGAAAAAATAAATAAAATTTATAAACCCTTAGCCATGCTAACAAAACAAAGGAGAGAGAACACTCAAATTACTAAAATTCATGATGAAAAAGGAAATATAACAATGGATACAATTGAAATACAGAAGATAATTAGAAACTATTTTAAAGTTTATATTCCAATAAAATAGAAAATTCAAAGACATCAACAAATTCAGATTTGCTGAAAATTTCAGATTTTCTAGAGACATATGATCTACCCAAACTGAATCAGGAGGACATACACAATTTAAACAGATTTCAAGCATTGAAATAGAAGATGCCATCAAAAGCCTACCAAGAAAGAAAAGCCCAGGACCAGACGGATTTTCAGCTAAGTTCTACAAGACCTTTAAAGAAGAACTAATACTAATACTCCTCAAATTATTCCATGAAATAGAAATGGAGGGAACCCTTCCAAACTCATTCTATGAGGCTAGTCTTACTGTGATACCAAAACCAGACAAAGACACACCAAGGAAAGAAAACTGTATACCAATATTCTGATGAACATAGATGCAAAAATTCTCAATAAAATTCTGGCAAATCACATACAAAAACATATTAAAAAGATAGTGCATCATGATCAAGTGGTGTTTGTCTCAGGGAGACAAGGTTTGTTCAACGTATGAAAAATCAAAAAACATAATTTATCACATCAACAGATTTAAAGACAAGAGTCATATGATCATCTCAATAGATTCAAAGAAAGCATTTGACAAATTACACCTCTTTATGTTCAAAACACCAGAAAAACTAAGAATGGTAATACCTCAACATAGTAAAAGCTATGCTAAGCCCAAGACCAACATCATTCTAAATGAAGAAAAATTGAAAGCATTCCCTCTAAAAACTGGAACAAAATAGAGATGCCCTCTTTCATCACTTATATTCAATATAGTCCTTGAAACTCTAGCCAGAGCAATAAGACAGATGAAAAAATTAAAGGGATACAAATAGGAAAAGAAGAACTCAATCTATCACTATTTGCCAAGGACATGATTCTATGTTTAGAGAATCCAAAAAATTCCACCAGAAAACTTCTAGAACTAATAAATGAATTCAGCAAAGTAGCAGGATATAAAATCTATACCCATAAATCAAATGCATTTCTATACATAAGCAATGAATCCACTGCAAGAGAAATTAGGAAAACTACCTCATTCACAATAGCCTCAAGAAAAAAAAAATGGGAATCAATCTAAAAGAGGTGAAAAACCTCTACAATGAAAACTACAAAACAGTAAAGAAAGAAATTGAAGAAGACCTTAGAAGATGGAAATCTCTCCCATGTTCTTCAAGAGGCAGAATTAACATTGTCAAAATGGCCAGACTACCAAAAGCGTTATATAGATTTAATGAAATTCCTATTAAAATCCCAATGTCATTCCTTGTAGAAAGAGAAAAATAATCTTAAAATTCATTTGGAAAATGACACAGAATAGCCAAAGCAATCCTTAGCAAGAAGAGGGAAGCAGGAGGCATCACAATACCAGAACTTAAACTGTATTACAAAGCTATCATAACAAAAATGGCATGATATTGGCATCAAAATAGACATGTAGACCAGTGGTGCAGAATAGAAGACACAGAGACAAACCCACATAAATATAGTTATCTCACACTAGACAAAGGCTCCAAATACATACATTGGAGAAAAGAGAGTCTATTCAACAAATGGTGAAATCCACATATAGCAAAATGAAATTAAACCTCTATCTCTCACCATGCACAAAAATCAACTCAAAGTGGATCAACGACCTAGGAGTTAAACCAGAGACCCTATGCCTAATAGAAGAAAAAGTAGGCCCAAATCTTTAACATGTTGGCTTAGGACCTGACTTCCTTAACAGGATTCCTAAAGCATAAAAAATAAAATCAAGAATCAATAAGTGGGATGGATTCAAACTAAAAAGTTTTTTTCTCCGCAAAGGAAACAATAACATGAAGAGAAAGTTTGCAGAATGGGAGATAATATTTACCACATGCACCTCAGATAGAGCACTAGTTTTCAGGATATACAAAGAACTCAAACTTGACACCAAAAAAAAAAAAACAAAACAAAACAAACAAAAAAAACCCCTCAAATAACCTAATCAATAAATGGGCTAAGGAACTGAACAGACACTTCACAGAAAATATACAATCGATCAACAAATATATGGAAAAATTTTCATCATCTCTAGTAATTAGAGAAATGCAAATGAAAACTACTCTAAGATTTCATCTCACTCTAGTCAGAAAGCCAGTTATCAAGAATACAAGCAATAATAAGTGTTAGAGAGGATCTGGGGAAAAGGTACACTCATAAATTGCTATTGGACTGCAAATTGGTGCAATAACTCTGGAAAGCAGTACAGAGATTCTTTAGAAAACTTGGAATGGAACCACCCAGCTATCCCACTCCTCGGTTTACACCCAAAGGACTTAAAATCAGCACACTATAGTATCATGGTCACATCAATGTTTATAATAGCTCAATTCACAATAGCTAAGCTATGGAACCAACCTATGTGTCCTTCAATAGATGAATGATAAATCAAACGTGGTATATATATTCAATAGAATATTACTCAGCTTTGAAGAAGGATGAAATTACAGCATTTGCAGGTAAATGGATGGAGCTGGAGAACATCATGCTAAGTGAAATAAGACAATCCCCCCAAAACAAGGCCAAATGTTTTCTGTGATATGTGGATGCTGATCTATAATGGTGTGGGGGGAGAGCAATGGAAGAATGGAGGGACTCTAGACTGGGTAGAAGGAAGTGAGGGAAGGGGAGGGAGTATGGGGGTGAGAAAGATGGTGGATTGAGACTGATATTATTACCCTATGTACATGTATGATTGCACGAATGGTGTGACTCTGCATTATAACCAAAGAAATGAAAAGCTGTGCTCTTTTAGTGTACAAAAAGTTGAAATGCATTCTGCTGTCATATATAACTAATTGGACAAAAACAAAACAAAACAAAAAAACCCAAAAAACCACAATGAGATACCACTCACCTATCAAAAGCTATTATCAAAAAGAAAATAGATAACAAGTGCAAGAATGTGGAGAAAGGAAAGCCTTTCACAGCCCTAGTGGGAGTCATGTAAATGGGGACAGGCATTATGGAAAATAACATGGAGATTCCTCAAAAAATTGAAACTAGAATTACCATATGATCCAGCAATCCCACTACTGGATATTTACCCCCAAAGATTTGAAATCAGTTCCCTTAGGGTTGTGTGCATCCCCATGCTTATTGCACCACTATACATAATAACCAAGATACGAAATCAACCTAAGTGACTTTCATTTAACATGTGTCTGAGACACTGCCAAAACCTGCCTCTTGAGAGGGCAGCTGGGAAGACCTTGGGGTCTGAAATTATCCTAATGTAGCTAACATAGCTCAGTTTCCCAAGTGAGCTGTAAGCAGACTGCTGACTGTTTGGGTCGAGTCTGCAGCTGCTACCAGCTCCATTCAAACAGTGCCTGCAGAAAACAGGAAACGGCTCACCTCTCTCTGAATAGAAGCAAGAGACTGCTCCAGGAAGTGAGGTCTTCCTCCAGTGTGGGCGAGGGGTGGGGGTCAGGCCAGGGTGGGGCTCAGCCCTGTTCACTGGTGATTGTGGTTTTCTGTATCCCACAGGGAGCTCAGAAAGGCTCACAGAACAGAGCTCAGTGAGTTAGAGAACAAGTACAAAGAAGCGTTGAAGGCAGAGAAGGCAGCTTCCCGGGGAAAACTAGGTACCCTCAGGGCCTGGGTGAAGGGACGAGGGGCTGATAGTGTGGGTGTGGGGCCAGGGCTCCCATGGCCATGGATGGGTGGTAGCCAGGTACCAGACGTTTCTTCCTGAAGCTAAGGGGGAGAGAGGGGGGGACTGAAAAAAGGAAAGATTATGTCTACCAAGGTCCTTCCTTTTCCTGGAAGGTCTGAGGATGTCCCTTCATCTTGAGTCTCAGTTCCTCATCTGGGAATTGAGAACAAAATATCTACCCTTGTGAGTATGAAGAGAATCTGAAAACACTTTAAAAAGCACATTCCTGAGTTCTACAAATATGACACTATTACAATTTGGCAAGTTTCCTGACCTGTAACATGACAGGGTTTTATTCAGTTCTCCCTGACACACTGCCACTGTATAGCCTTATAAAGCAGAGGGTTGTACTGGCCATTTGACCTTACTATTTACACTGCCCTCCTGAAGGGTGAAATGTGTAGCCTCCTGAATTCTGGGTTCGAAGATTCATCTCCACAGAGGGAAGAAGTAATGCTATAGGGCCTTCTTCCTTTATTTTGCCCCAATCTTTTAAAAGATCATATCTTATTGACACTTTTCTGATTTTCCAGTTTTCTCAAGAGAGCATGTATTGTTTTCATAGTCATGGTAAACCAAGAAATGTCACCTAAAAGAGCAGCAGATACATGCCACAAGCTTTTGTTCCTCTTTTCCCCACAGATGTAGCTCAGCCCCTGGGATGTCTTTAAGACTTTGTTAACAAGAAGTTTATTTGTCAACAAATAATTTGTCCCCGGAAACCCCAGTTCCACAGGTGCAGGGTGGAGTCCAAGCAATTGAGTTTTGAAGGTTCAAGGGGAATTTCTGGGACACTTACAGGCCTCACAGCTGGGAGGAGGAGTTGAGGGTGGGGAGCTGTGCTCCAGAGCTCACATTTGAGTTTGAAATGTGCCTTTCAGAGGAGTGATGATGACCCTGTTGTTTTCCTTTGGTCCAGAGGAGATGGAAAAGGAGTATAAGTATTTGAAGAATATGTTTCATATGTATCAGGTGAGACAGAGCTCCTTGTTGGCTTCCGAGAGTGAGAGAAGCAAGTCTTATGCCTGGCTGACAACATTGAATCCAGAGCTCTTGCCCGAAAAAACCATGTCCTGAGACTCCAGCATCCATAGACCTAAGTGGCACTTACTGTACCCAGGAAGAAGGGTGGACCCAATGGCTTCCACGTATGACAAGTCATCCCAGACTGTAAAGAGGCCTATTGACAAATATGTTTGTGGTTATACCACAAATTATTAATTCTGGTATTCACTATTATTATTGTTCACTTAAAAAAAAAAAGCAATGGGAATAACCAACAACAGTAACAATCAAAAGAAAGAAGTGTTACCATCCAAAGACAACCTCTGCAAAAATCTGTATTCTTTTAATGTATTAAATCTGTGTATAGTTTTGTATCCTCTTTTCACCAGGCAGAAACTTTTTTCTCCTTTTTAATGACTAGATATTATCCTAGTGAAAACATGTATTTCACTATTCCCCAAAGGTTGGATGTTTGAGTTGCTTCCAATTGTTTGATGAACAAAAAACTAAAGAAATAAATAAAAATTTATATATATAATCACTTTAAACATCTTTGATTCTGGCAGTGCTGAGTCAAAAGGATTGAATTTTTTATTTTTTATTTTTTTTAGTACCAGAGATTAAGCTCAGGGGCACTCAACCTCTGAGCCACATTGCAGCCCTATTTTGTATTTTATTTAGAGACAGTGTCTCACTGAGTTGCTTAGCACCTTGCTGTTGTTGAAGCTGGCTTTGAACTCATGATCCCTCCTGCCTCAGCCTCCTGAGCCATTGGGATTACAGGCATATGTCACCGTGCTCAGCAGGGATGAATATTTTTAAGGCCTTTAGTAGATTTGGCCAAATTATAATCCTAAAAATCTCTGTCACACTGCACTGTACAAACTGAGCATGGAATACATAGCCATCTCAGAGCATAACCCATCCACTTAATCAGCTAATCTGATGAAGGCCCAGAGTTAGAGTATGATGCCTTGTGAGGGAGATGAGTGGACAGGGGATGGGAAGTGGACAGGGGAAAGGCAGACTCAAGCCCTCTTCCTATTTAACTGTTAAATATAGGAACAAACTAGTCCTGTTGCCTTGGGACTGAGAGTTTCCTGGGATTCCAGACTTTATTGCATATACCTGGGCAGTCCCAGGCAAACCAAGACAGGTGGTCACACCCATCAAAGGTGAAACACCAGCACTACTTCTGAAGTTCTATGTGCTACTGAGAGTTTCAGTTTTGAGCTTATATCCAAAACCTGACCAGATTTATGACCAGATGAACTGTCCCACGTTCCTAAATTTACTCTGTGTTTATTTCAGTCTGGGCCTCTCCAGGCCACTTGAACTCCATGGCAACCACGTTGCCCACCAGCATGAAAATGAGGAGAGAGAACCCATCAGCATGGTCCCAATGACTCCACAGGGAACTGATGCCCCAATTAGTGTGGCTCCTGATGCTTTCCCTTCTGGGAACTTACTAGCATCATTGAGATCCCGGGCCGCCTTCTTTTGGGTTCCTAGGATTCCCTGCAAAACAAATGGGGACTTCTGCCAGACATCATGCTGTGTTCTAAGTCTTCAAATTAACTCCAGGCATTTCTCTTCTTTCTTGTGTGCCACTGAAGAGCGACTCATGGTTCAGCAGGAGCTGACATGGGATTCTCCCACCTGGAAGCCCAGTTCCAGCAGGGCAAAGGCCGCTCAGGCGTGCATGGTTTTTCCCGACCTTTTGGGTTCCACAATTCTCTGCTGGATGGGGATGGAATTTACTTCCCATAGGTCATCCAAGGAGGGCCCTGTCAGTGAGGGAAGTTGCCCAGGGCAAGGGCCTGTGCGTAAGGGGGCCTCTCTAGTGTGCATGGATTTCTCTAGGGCTTAGGGCTCTTTTCCTCATGGTGCCTTTGGGACTCCACAGGACAGCATTTATGATGAAATAGAAGAAAAATGGTCAAAGCGGAAAGCAGAATGGGAGAAGGATGAGAAGTTGGAGAGGGAAAAGATCCTGCTGCAACAGAGTGAGTACTACAGAGATGTTGGGCTTGGGGATGACAAGCTCAGCAGAAAACTGCCTTAGGCTTGGCCTTGACTTGAGGGACCTTGGGTTTACCAAGGGTGACGGCCCCACACCAGACTCCTGAATGGAAGGTGCTGTAGTCATCAAGAAAACAAAATGGCCGGGCGTAGTGGCACACACTGTGATCCCAGCAACCCAGGAGGCTGAGGAAGGAGGATGGCAAGTCCAAGTTTGAAGCCAGCCTGAACAATTTAGTGAGACCCTGTCTCAAAATAAAGAGTTGAGTTTGCAGCTCAGTGATAGAGTACTTGCCTAGCATGTGTGAGGCTCTGTGTTTAATCCCCAGTACCACAAAACAAACCACAAGCAAAAAAAAATCTCCCATGTGATGAGAAGGGCAGGGTCCTTTTCAAGTTTACACACCTGAACTAAGGGGCCTGAGCTTGTATCTTTCAAACTCACTGGTTCCAAGTTTGCCTATCATGGACTTGAACAAGTGTTGTGACTTCTAATAGGAATGTAGACTTAATATCTAGTTACAGGCGACCCCAAAGCTCCAGGAGTTCTTCAATTAGAATTTGAAATATTCATTTTGGGGAGAGAGCAGGGATGAACCACACAATCCATTATAGCAAGAGCCTCCTTGTCCCCATGTCCCCCCAAAGGGAGCCATGTTTGATAAAGCTTTTGAATACATTCAACGCTTAACCTAGAGTTTAGATCTGTAGCACTTCCCACAACACTGAGCTTCTTCATTCATGGAAGAATGTACAGAGCGACTGGTGGAGAGGAATAGTCCAAGGAGGAGTGGGCCCTCTACAAACCTATTCCTCTTATCTTACATTTATTCAGTTTAAACCAAATTACTCATTCAAATGCAAAGACTCCCTGGGACGGTTCACATTCTGGTGGGGACTCTGGCTGGGGTTGGGATGTGGAGCTGCTCCTGTGTGTTGGTCACCTCCCAGACTTCTACAGTCTTACACAACACACATCTAGGTTTTGAAAAACTAGAATTTATGCATCCCATTCCAGGGTTTCCCTGTCAGTCCAGAGAATTCCTCCGCCCCCAGAATTGCCACACAGAGGGAATTTGTGTTTGTCCCTTCCCTTCTTTCCTCCTTTGTAGTATTAGGGTTCTGGTGGCAGATTTTTTGCCCAGAAAAAAAAACAAGGTAAGCCAACCTCAGGGCTTTAGGACAAAATGAATGATATTGCTGGAGAAAATCAGGTAAGCCAAGAGCTTTAAGACAAGGATATTTAGGAATAATAAGTAACACATCCAAAATAAATAATGCACACAAGAACCACAGGTGGTGACAGTAAATCTCATATGGCTAATGTGATCAAGGACAACCATCATGATCACCTCATCCTCAGGCATTTCCAGGTCAGAGTCCAAACACCAGGCAGAAAGGACTGGGGTTTGACTTGGTCTGAAATTGCTTGTATCTTCAAATATTCTGGGTTTCTCTCTATACTTGTTTTTCCATATTTACACATAGATGTGCTTTTTTCACACCTCTGCAGAACACAAGATGACAAAAAAGTTCGAGTTAGAGTCAGAAGAAGAAAAAAAGAAAATAACTGAATCCTACAGTGCTTCCATTGAGAACCTCATTAGCGAGAAGGAGGTAGGTCAGGGAGCACTCGGTGGTTGCATGTGTGTGGTCCAGGCACAGTAGCTCCTCCATAGTCAGGAATCTTTTTGTGTGACTGATGGGCAATCCTTGTCCTTACCCAGCTTTCCTGGAAATAAAATCAGGTAGGTTGATAGGTTTGCTCTCCTTTAGCTAGTCTTACTACTTGTTTGTTGAAATGAAAATCTTAAGTGATAGGAAATAACTGAATGCTAAATATACAGAACCTGAAATCCCCAATTTTACCAAAATGCCATCTCTGAATGTCTTTTTCATTCCTGACTATAGCAGAAGAGAAAAGGCATTGCTGCAAACCAAACACATTTGGTCACACAAGACTCTTAGTAAATAAAGAAGGGAGGTGAGGGTTGACTACTCCTGCTAGCCAAACCTCACTACTGCTAAAACCTTACTTCTGAGACCAGGTAATAATGAAAGCAGGTCTCAGGCCAAGTTTTGCCATACTTATGAACATTTACTTAGCAACTATGCATTAGCAAGCAGCCCCGACATTTCATGCCACCAGGTCTCTGAACTTTTAGATGCACAGAAGTTTTCCCAGTGGCAGGCATGACGGCATCCCAGAGGCAGAACTTGGTACCCGTTATCATCTGCACCAGGCAACCAGAGCATGTCCTTAGCAGGACTCAGGGCCACCTGGGATCAAGTCCTAGGCACCATGCTTAAGTGGACAGCTACAGACTTTGTTACATTCTTGTACCACTTTTAGGTAAAATGTTTTCCCAATATTTTGGATATTCTACATATTCCACTTTTGTGTCCATGTCTAACCATTATGCTAATCCAAAATCCACTAAGTTCACCAATAAAAGTCAATTTCTGATATTCACTATTATTAATGGACAAAACAACAATGAGATGGGGTCAGGTTCTGCAAGTGTGTATAGGGCTCCTGAGGTCTGGAGAGCAAAATCATTGGAATAAGAAGTAGCCATTCCTTTTGTGGAGGGAGATTTGATCTGTATACATCCTTTCTTTCTTCTTCCTGTTATTTCTCTAGTGATGCTGGCTGTAAATAGATATCTCTCTCTCCTTCTCTCTCTCATTGAGCTATCATTTATACTTAGCAAAACACACAGACTTAAGTGTGAAATTTGATAAGTTTTGACGTTGTCTATTACAATGCCACAAAGATATTCTTTTTTTTAGAAACTTCATGATTTTAACTTTTATGATTTTATGATCCATTTTGAACAATTTGTGTATACAGAGTGAGGTAGATACCATGGGTCACTTTTTTACATATGAATATTTAGTTGTTTCAGCACCAATTTTTTTTTTTTAAACCAAAAACAAAACAACATTCCTTTTCCCATTGAGTTGTCTTGGGGTCATTGGGGGTGGGGAGTCAGACTCCATTCTGTTTCTTATGACTAATTGTCTTCGCTTAGGCCCACAAACATAAAGTAGTCTTACCTATTAGAGCTTAATATCAAATAGTTAAGATCATCTAACTTTAGTAATGTTTTCCAAGATTATTTTCCCCCCATTCTTTGCATTTGCATATACATTTTAGAACTAGCTTGTCAATTGAGAATTAACTTCTCAAGAAAGCCTGTGGGCATTTTGACTAGGAATACATTGAAAATAAAGATCAATCCATGCAGAAATAAATCCTTAACAATATTGAATCTGTACACTAATTTAAAAGCTTTTGATGAAAATCTAATTTATTTTATATTTATCAATGTGATAGTGTTTAATATAAGATTTTCATTAGTTAACTTCAAAATGCCATATCATTTGTTGACAATGTGTGTATCATTATATTGATATATAAGCTTTAGTAAATATTATATTCCTGAATCCTCTACTGGCTTTCTTAATTCTCCAAAAGAATATCCAGAGCCAATAATATTGTTTTTAGGAGCTCTTGAAACAACATGAAAGCGACACCCTGCAATTACAGGAGCTGAGTAAGACCAAAGCGGTAAGCTCTTCTGTTTCTTCCTATGGAACTGATGTCTGGCAAATATATCAGTGTAAATATATTTACACTCTCCGTAAAATGGAACCTATGGTAATTTTTCCAAAACCCATAAAAGATGCAAGACCTAAAGCTAAGTTTGCTAGATGAAATAAGTTAAAAAGTGATCTGGAATTGTCCGTAAAACAAAAGTACCTGGTACCCTTTTTAAAGCCAGATTTGAGCACATACATCAACAGCATACCATATGGTCATCAATGTTGAATGAATTCTATTTCTAGCAAAGCTTAAGGAAGGACTTTGATTCATGAATGGCCATGTTCTTTCCTTTGAGCTGAGAAAAGTACAGAACTTCCTTTGCCTACGGATCTCTGGTTTTAAGCTCTGGGTGTACCTCAGATGTGATAACTGTCTTTAAAAAAACAACAACAACAAAAAAATCTTTTTAGCCACAGATGGACACAGTACTCTTATTTTGTTTATTTATATGTGGTGCCGAGGATCGGACCCAGGGCCCCTCACGTGGGAGGCAAGTGCTCTACCACTGAGCCACAAGCCCAGTCCCAAGTGATAACTTTCTTGTGGGTCACTTTGTGGAGACATCTGAATAGAAGCTGTCCAGACCCACAAAAAAAACCTGTGGTTCTTTCTTCTTTGACAATCTAACTTGGATCTAGAATGGATATGTTTGAGATAAGCTTCATTTATGCCATTTCTGTTGCTATTAATTGATTTTTCTCCTCATTCCTGGTCATATTTTCTTGTTTGCTTGCCTGGTAGTTTTTTATGGTGCCAGCCACTGTGAAAGTTGCCTCGTTGGGCACTAAATATTTTTATATTCCTTTAAATCTTCTTGAACTATGTTCTGATACAGTTAAGCTACTTGGAAGCAGTTTCACTCTTTCACATGCAATGCATCAGCCTTAGCATTGATTTTATGCTTTGCTGATCTGAACTAAAGCAGTCCAGTGCAGAGCTGGATTCCCGGTTCCTGAGGTAACACCTTTCCAAATGCTCTCCCAGCGCCCTTTGCATTAGACGGCTTCTTCTGCTCTGGATGGTGCGATTGTGAACTGCTCCCAGGACTGTGTTGGCCCAGGGATTATCCCTCTTGCTCTTTTCTTTCCCCAGCTTCATCTCCTTCTATTTCTTGCCTCCATCATTCCACCCCAGCAGCACTGAATTCCTTGTCATTTCTTAAAAGGCCAGGATGCTCCTACCTTAGGTCTTTGTTCTTGGTGATCTCTCTTCCTGAAAAGCTCTTTCTCAGAAATCCACATGGCTAACGTCTTTCCTTCTTCTGGTCTTTACTCAAATACCACCTTTTCAGGAGCCACCCTATTTAAAGGCCTAGTTCCCTGCCCAATACTTCTTGTGACAAATACCAGGAATGCCTCTCCTGGCCTGAGGTGAGGGGTCACTTCCTCCCTGAGCCACTCACCACACTGGCTTTCACAAGTGTCTACTTCTCCCCCACTGGTCACTTCTCCGTCCTCTTTGTAGGTCCTCCTCCTCCACCTACATTCTAAGCCCTGGAAAGTTTCAGGGCTTGACCCTGGGTTCTGTTTCTTTTCTTTCTCTCCCCTTTCTCCTTTGGGAGTTAATTATTCACACAAATGTAAATGCCATCTCTGTGCTGCCGACCAGATTGACTCCTCCAGCCCCGGCCCCTCCTCTGAGACCCAGGTTGCATATCCAACTACCCATTTGGTGTTTCTACATAGGTGACAATGGACATCTCAAACCTAATGTGTCCCATTCCACACTCTTGATTTTCCTCCCAGGATTTGAGCTCTCAAATTGTAAATCTCCCAGCTGTTCAAACTGGAGTCAAAGTCGTCCTTGATTTCTTCCACTCTCCCTCATCCATACATCGGCATCAACCACTCCTCCATAGAGCACTCTATAAATCCACTTCTCTCCAGCGCTGCCCGTCTCCCCCAGTCCATTATTTCTCACCTGAACTACTGTAATACTCTTCTCCTTGCTGACCTTGTTTTCTACCCTGTCCCTTCCAACCCATGTTCCACAGAGCAGTGAGATCGATGCAAACAGTGAGAACCAAATAAACACTCCTCTGCCTAAAACTTTTTGACCCCCACCCCCCATTATTCTCGAGTTACCATGAATCCCAGGTGTGGCCTGGCTCCTCTGCATCTCCTCACTGTGGCCCACTCTCCTACTTGTGGTCTCTATTCCAATCCCACTAGTGTTCCTTAAGGATTCCTACGCTTTTTGCCTCCTAAGGACTTTTGCACAGGTTCCTAATTGTTCTTCAGTAGTAGTTTGTTCATTTAACTGATAGTCTATTTCTTGGAGCAGTTTTAGGTTTATAGAAAAATTAGGGCAAAAATTACAGGTTCCCCTAAGCTACCCCTCAGAGTTCCACCTATTATCAACATCTTGCACTAGGATGATATATTAGTTTCAACCTACCAGTTGATGCTAATGCATTATTATTAATTGAAGGTCCATAGTTTACATTCTTCATTCCTTGTGCCATACAGTCTATGCCTAATATGTCATGTCATGTATCTATAATCACTGTGTCATACAGAATAGTTTCACTGCCCTAAAAATACCCTCTGCCCCACCTACTCATTTCTCCTTTCCCCTTCCAACCTCTAGAAACCACTAATCTTTTTACAGTCCCTAGAGTCTCACCTTTCCCAGAATGTCCTATAGTGGGAATCAGTAGTAGGTTATTAACAAAAGACTCTTCAGTGAATGAATGGCGGATTGCCATGGTAACCATCTGTTTGAGCTCTGGTGAGAACTGGCTCTGTGGCAGTGATGGTTGGGCTGAAGGGGAGGGTATGTAGCCCGGAGAGACAGCAAATGGCCAGAATTTACTGGCCAGGGGTGAGTAGCTAAGGCTGTTGCTCTGCGTTGTAGTCCAGGTACTGTGGAGAAGAGAATAAATAGGTAACATGGGCTTGGTGTCCTGAAACAATTTCTTCTTGTGCAGATCATGGAGGAAGAGTTGCATGCACAAGCTATTATTCTAGAGTCGCTTAACGCGCACCTCTACCAAACACAGATGGAACTCCAGAAAGAGGTGAGTCCTGGCTGGAGAGAGGACAGGGGCTGGGAGAGGAACCCAGGTGTCTCTGCCATTTGGCTATATAGCTTCATGCTGGGTGGCTCTGGGGAAGACTGCTTTTAAATTTTGTCTTTCCAGAAAGCCACAGTGGGAAATCTTGAGAAGATGTTCCAGATCAAGCTTGCTGAAGCTAATGAAAAGCATAAGCACACCATAGAGAGCCTGACAGAGGAAAACCTTCTTCTAAGGTGTGAATGCTGTCGGCTGAGCTCTCTTTAGGAGTGGGAGGGCATGTGAGTGAGGAATAGGTTCAGAAGATAAGCCAGGTACTGCTTACTGATGTTAAGACAAGAGGGAGGTTATGTCACTGAGCTTGGACACAGTTATCTGCAGAGGCCAGAGTTCTTTTGAGATATGTCTGGACTTCTCTCTCTTGCCTGTCTGTTATGCAAAATGACACAGGAAGTGTATCAATTTCTGAGTTTTTTTTTCTGTTCTGTGACTGAGGGTTGTTTTTCAAGTCCCTCTTCTCTGAAACACTCGGTGGTTTTTATGTTAGACACAGCTGCTTCTGGTTGCTCTGGGAATCAACTTCAGAACACAGAAATCATACTGTTACCTGAAGAGACATCTTAAATTGCTCAAACAAACTTTACTGAAGTTACCTGTTGCATTGATTCCATAGAAAATGTCTCATTTGGCAATTTGGTCACCCAAATATCACATTTCACTAAATTCAAAACCACTGCAAGTGATGAGAGACTGCTCCCCCAGGGAGGACTAAAGCCACATTTCTGCCCCTACCCACACACCCATATCCTGTACCCCCTTCTATCCTTTGAGTCTGTCATGATATATCCTTCCTTTTACAGGCAAAAGATTGCCAAGAATGGAGAAGAAGTTTATGAAAGACAATCTGGAACCTTGCCCTCTTTAGCCAGTTATGAGTATAATTATGATTATGACATTGAATATGGCAACAAAAAACAAGAATCATAAACAAAAAGTTGTTCTCCTTGGCCAAAGATGGTAGGAACACCATCCCTAAAGCCTATGGAACTCCTGGGGGGTGGGGTGGGCGGAGAGGGTTTCTTGAGAAAATGCATATGATTAGTTGAGTTCTTGGGTTGTTCTGACTATGTTTTTGTCTTTTCACAATTTGCTTTTTTTCTGAATGGGAATGTTTAAATTCTCAATAGCAGAGCTTCTCATCGACTCTTCATTAAAAATAGATGTTATCTATCCTGAAGCTGATCTCTCTCTGGGCCTTGTACTCTTTTCTCTTGTGCATTTTACACATTTTATTAGAAAGAGACTGATTTGAAGGCACCCTTCCTATCAAATGTTGACTGTATGTTGGGCTACATCTTTTGTCCCCCTCTGTAGCTAGCAAGACAGATAACTCTTTGACTTGACTTCAATACTTTATTCTGTTATATACATATGCCTGCATTCTCCGACCTTCCAACCATGTTCCCGAACCTATCACCTAGGAAGAGTATCTGAAGATTCTTGCTGCCTTCTCTAAACCATCACCAGAATTCAAATGCCCCCCAGGGTAGGCAATATAAATCAACGAAAATGTCTGGATGTAAGGTAAAATGGTCACACTGGCAGGGTGATAAATGGCCATTGACAGCAGCCCCTTGGAGAGGTGCCTGGGTGGGGATGGAGAGAGGACTGGGGAAAGCAGAGCCACACCTGGCTGGAGAGAGGTGCTTTTCAGACCTCTACGATTGCTACCACACAGTTACCTGGGGTCAATGTTATCAGACATTCTCAATTTTCAAAAAAAGATATTATGGGTTTTATGTGATATCTCCTGTTTTTTAAATGTTGACAGTAAACGTTAAAAACACAGCCTGTGGGAGCCAATATTGGGAGACTCAAGTAAAACAAGTCTATGACCAGAATGTTTTCCATTTGTGACACACCATTGGCAAAAACAAACAACAAACAAACAAACAAAAAACACTAAAAAAATAATCTCTAAGGAGCAGTAAGATAAAATTACATTTTATTTTATTAAAAATGTTTTTTTAAAAATTTAAAAATACTCTTAAAAGCATGAAATGAGCTGAAAGAAAAAAATGGATACAAATATATGAAATATTAAAATGCTTCATTAGCAAGAACACTGAATCCTACAAGCATATGAAAAGGTATGTGAAAGAGCAACAAAATGAAAAAAAAAAAAGGCTGAGGATGTAACTCAATAAGAGAGCCTTTGCTTGGCTCCAATCACCAGCATTGAAGGGAAAAGAAAGAAGAAATATCAGAAAGGAATTTAGGGACATCTAATATTTAGAAACTTAATTTTCCAAATTTAAATATTTTGAAAGTAGTGTATTAGATGGCTTGAAAAGAGAGGAATTAAGTTTTTATTTACTTTTAAGTATACTTTTTCATCTTGTTAAAAATACAGTTAAAATTATACCATAACTGTAAATGTCTAATAGTGGCTGATATTGCATAGCCAGGACTTGAATTCATATAAGAATTAAAATGTTCTTGATTCAAATGCATAAAGTGAATTGATTATAGTAATGCTTTGTATGGACAAAATGGTTTTGATGTAATAATTGAAGATAATGTTGTATATTTAAAAACACAATTTTTTATGAAAAAAAAGTACTTAGTTCCTCATTCCCTCCCTGCCTTAAAAACAAAAGTGCAGTCAATATTTTATAATTAACTAACACTAATTAGAACAAATAAAAAAATACTTAATAAATAAAGCATAGTGTTACACAATGATGTAACATCAATCAAGAGGAAAGAAGAGTTTTTTCCTTAATGTAAAAGTGGGCTGTGGCATCTGTTTCCCCATGTTCTTCTTATCATCCTTATTGCTCACTTCATAGTTCACTTCAGTCAGGATGGTGAGAATATCATCGCCTCTGAAAAACAGAGCATAACATATGATGATTCACGGGGCAGGGAGGGGGGACAGGACTGACAACCCATCTCATCTGCTGTGCTGAGGGAGAGACCTATAGCTCCCTCTCTCAAATATCAGGCTTTGGAAACCATAATCTGCTAAACCAAGACCTACCACAGCTTTCCAGGTAGATGAGTTGTCTCAAGCTTGATAACTTCACCTTCAGCTTATTTGGAATCTCTACTAACCATCAGAAACCTCGGGCCAGTATTGGATTTGATTTCTTTCCCTTCCAGTCTGTGTATCTCTCTCACTACTCCATGGACTGTGTCACTCAACCCCCACAGCATCTCAATGCCTCTGAATGCCTTCTGCTTACATTCAGCATTGCTTCTGCAAATTCATCTACAACACAATCTAACATCTCCTTCAGCCCTCTCTCCCCCTCCATCCCCAGATATCTTAGCAGTTTTCTTGGTCAACCTCTTCATCTATCTCTGTAGCAAACACCAGAACCTTGCAGGACTCCTGGCCTAAATTACAAAATGAAAACCTCACATTGGTGCTGTGGTTTGCTCTTTATATAACATGGGAGATTCTCACTCTTCAAACTCTGAAAGCCTAATGAGAAATAGGTCTAGAAGGAATGTGTTAGGATTCCTCACGGTTCATCTGTCAGCTTTGCACACGTGGGTAAGCTATGACATTTGAAACTATAACTAAATGAAGCCTCTGATATGATAAACAAGGGAAGAATATTTTCCCACATCTTGCGGCTTTAAAGCAAGCCAGGTGAGTGGGGAGACACAAGAGGCTCCATCTCTTTGCTACTTATCTCCCACAATGCATCAAGGGTTTGAGGTGAGTTAGCTATTATGGGACTTTTGACAGAGTTGGAGAGTGTTAAACATTGACATGGTTACTGCCTTCTTGGCAAACTTACAAAACTAGCTGAATCAGCTCAATCATGATTTTTTTTTTCCCTTAAAGACAGAGAGCTGGACCACATGCCTATTGCCTTTCCAGCTTTGTAATACTGTGGTTGTCCTTTGAGTTGCGGAATCAAGGAAACCTCTCAGTAAGTGTATCAGTTTTCCCATCTGTGAAAGAAGGATATTAACACTTGCCATTTCTCTTATTTCACAGCTGACCTGGGAAGTAGGACTTTGTAGTCCACAGGGAGACATTTTAGAAGTAAATGGAAATCACTCCTCTTGATGCTTCTTCAATTAATACTACCTCACCCATAAAGCTTTTTCTAAAAGGCCCTGGCTATGCATATATAGTAGTGGTGATGGGGAAGGGGACCAGGTAGTATAACACTGAGGAGGGCTGGATAGGCAAACCTTACCGAGGACATCTTTCTCTCAGTCTCTGGCAAAGGGACTGGATATACCAGGTTCCCTCCATGGGATTTCGATAGGAAACACAGTTGCTCACAGTGGCCATCCCCAACAGAAAGTCAGCTTCATCTGGGATATAACTCTTTTGAAATGATAAATCCATCTCTAAGTAGGGGTCCTTCTGCTTTGAGTCGGTTTCAACAAGTACACCTTTCTGGTAGTTATCCCCTTGACAAGCCTGAATAAAAAAGACTTTAGGTTTCCCAGCAAGGGAAGGGCACTTTGAACCAGTGAAATAAGAGGTCAGCTCAAAGATGGAGACCTTCTGTCCATCAGTGCCATAGATTATGCCCTCATCTCCATGCGAGAGGATACAGCAGATGAAACAGTCTTTATTGTTGTGGTCTTCACTTTGGTAGAATTTTAGAACTTCACAGATTTCCTTGGCTGTAGAATCTTTGTAACATACTATTTCAAAATGAAGCTCCTTAAAGATCTTGCTCAAAGCCTCTGAAAAGTGAAAGAAGAAAAGTCATATCACACTACAGCAATTCATTGCCACGGCCCAGAGTGAAAAAGAATTGGAGGGATGTGATATTGATAGATAAGAATTTGAGCCAAAAGTTCAAGAAGGAGAACATCTAAATTAGTAGGTGAATTCTATAGACTTTTAATATTTATTGCCACCAGCAGAGAACATTTCCAAACCATAAAGCAAATGAGAAAGGGGTGAGTGATATTTTCGGCCAGTTACCTTTTCTGAAACAGTTTATAGGATGAGTAAGCTGTTATTTTGGCTTACTACCAAATCAATTTAAGAGGTGATTTTATTTCCTATGTAATCATAAAAAAGAGAAAGAATTTTTGAATAAAAACCCATATTCATTTAATGCTGTACACTCAAAATTAGTTATACTTATCAAAATAGGAGATATGAATAAAATAGAACTAAAAGACCTATTACAAAAACAGTTATCCTCTCTCTATTCTTCTCTGTTACCCAGTCATATGCCATGAAAGCAACCACTTTTAGGTTTTAAATACTTTAATATTAGCTGCCATTTTGTAATGAATTTGAATTCACTACTATTAATTCATTTAAAAATTTTAGACTTTTTTTATTAATACTTATTTTTTAATTGTAGTTGGACACAATACCTTTATTTAATTTATTTATTTATGTGGTGCTGAGAATCAAACCCAGGGTCTCGCACTTGCGAGGCAGGTGCTTTACCATTGAGCCACAACTCTAGCCCCGAATTTTAGATTTTTTTATGTGAATTATTATGGAAGGTAAGCACATAGTACTCTTGTATAATTTTTTTATAATTTTGGGTTGAATTCATAATAATATATATGTTACCAGGACAATGTCAACATCAAGTTCTTAAATTATATTTCCTTTTTTATTATGATTTTTGTCTTTCCCAGAGTTAATAATTGTATTACTTTTTAAATTTGCTTTGTTTCCCATATGGTTAACTTTTTTTTTTTTCAAAAACACTAACAGATGAGGTCAGTCTTTCACCATTTTCAGACTGCTTGTCTGATTCATTTTAATTTTTCTGAAGAACATTTCATCTCGAGCACTACATCTTCTTTCTCTAATCCTAACTGACTGTTCCTTAGGCTTGATAAATTTTTCTTCTCCTGGGAAATCTTTAGGTCTTTTCCATAATAGATTCACTTTTTCCTGAACTTATGACTTCTTCTTTATTGATTTACTAACTGGTTTTGCTAGAGTATATCTACTCCTGCATAAAGAATAAATTTTTTGAGCCCTTAGATGAGCTTTACTTCTACTTTCATATTTTTTGTAGTTTAGCTAGATACAATACGCTTTTTCCACAAGTATTTTTCCTCAGAATTTTGAAGGTATTTCTTCAGTCTTATAGCTTTCAGTGTTCCTATTAAGAAGTTCACTAACAGCCTGGTTCCTGATACTTTATGTATTTGACTTATTTTTTTTCTCTCTAGAAGTTTCTAGGATGAAATATGCTTTGGTGTGAATCTTTCTTAATTCATCAGGCCCCTTTGGTCTGCAGACTATTAACCTAATTTCTGGAAATTTCCATTTCCCCATTTTCTCTGTCTTCTTTGGAACTCTGATTATTAGAGACTGGACATTCTTAACTTTTCTTCAAATTTTCTTTTCGTTTGGTTCCTATTTGTCACTTTTTTTTTTGTCTTTTTTGTCCTATTTTCTGAGACTTTATCTTCTGCCCTATCTGCTCTTTTGAATTTTTTTTATTTCTGTGCTCATATGTTGAATTTTTAGTAATTCTTGTTCTGTTTCTTTTTCATAACATCTTGTTCCTCTATGAATATTTTACTAAAAATATTAAATATAGTTTTAAAAATTATTTTATATGTGTGTATAAATATATACTAAAACAGATATTATACATATTAATTATATTATTATGTATTATTATATTATATATTATTATATTTTATATATTATTATACATTATATAATATTATAATATATATTATATATAATATATGTTTTAGTTATATATTATATATAATAGTTTTAGTTATATAATATCTGTTTAAGTTGTGGATGGACACAATACTTTTATTTTTATGTGGTGCTGAGGATCAAATCCAGTGCCTTGTGCATGCTAGGTAAGCGCTCTACCACTGAGCTACAACCCCAGCCCTTAAATATAGTTTTTTAAGGATTTCCTTTTACCCAGCATCATCTTTGTTTAATTTATATTTCATTTCATTTTTTTTCTTGTTTGTATTGCTTGTTTTATATTAGGGGTGTTCTCCATATGCCTTATAAAACTTGGTTGTCCATTAGTCTACTAAAAAGTTAAGCAAAAGCTCTGTGTTCATAGGCATGGTTTGTTCACTGGTGGACTTCATAGCAGAGTGTTTGATTAGGAAACTTATCATTCCATTAGGAGACCCCCAGATATCATGATTTATACATCTTTTATCTAGGGTTTTCAGCTTCTCCAAAGGAGGATTCATATTTTCTACCAATGTTCTTGGAACCAAGATAGGTTAGAGATCTGACTTCATGCCACCAGTAGGTTGACTTTTGTTTTTATCTTCCTTTCTTCCATACTTCACTGCTTTCTTTGCTGAGCCTGGTATCACTAGATCTTAGAGACTCTCTGGTTCATTTTTGTGGGAGAATAAACTTCCTGTTCCTTATGATGGTGGAATAGGAACAGTTGTTGGCTCCATGAGATGGAACTAGGGCATGTGCATGTGGGGTGGTGATGAAGAAAATAACAGCAAAGTTCACAGGACACTACAGCAGAACAGAAAGAACATCTCAGGAAAAATGACACAGGCAGCTGCATCTATTTTTACTCATTAACACAGAATGTAATAAGCCCAGGAAAAGATAAAACAGGACATGTGATCTTAAATACCTGTCACAGACTGGGTTCTGTGGGCCAGATGTAAGAAAAATGAACTGCCAGAAATAGAATCAAATGAAATTTAACAGAAAAAAATTAATATTCAACGAATAGAAATCAAAGATCTAAAATGTTTTTTTCAAAACCAAATACATAATGATAACTGATGTAATCAATGGCCTGAAATTCTGACTTTAAAACCTTAAATATATTTGCTTAAATAAGCAAAACAAATGGTAATAGGGACCATGACAGTGGTCTAGTGATTATAACAGGTCTAATTTAATTTTCTAAACTTTACTCAGTTTAAAAAATAAGTCATTAACTGGTGTTGTGACTCAAAAATACCATTTTCAAAAGTTCTTGACCAACTCAAAATTATTAATATCTCAATGAATGAGTTGGATTGATTTGTTCTTCTTTTTAATTATGCCCATTTTTATATCCCCTTCCTACAGATTTTTTTGTTTAAATTGTAAATTCTCTCTATGTACACAATGGAGTTTTACTTAGCCATAAAGAAGAATGGACATAATTGCAGGAAAATGGATGGAACTTAAGAACATTATGTTAAGTGAAATAAGCCAAACTCAGAAGGTCAAGCATTGTATGTCTTCTCTTTTATATGGGAGGTAGAGAGGAAAAAAGGTGGCCGGGGGATCTCATGAGAAGCAAAGCAAGATCAGTAGAATAAAGAAAAGGGACCAGGGTGTGGAAGGAGGCAAGGGAATAAGCAAGTGCCAAGAAGTCATCATAAACACTGTTATAATTTTGTGCAGGTACTAATATGTGTAACAAATCCCACCATTATGTACAACCATAATGCACCAATAAAAAATGTGGAAAAATAAATTTTAAGTTCTCAGTCTTCACTTAAATAGGTTGATCAAAAGAATTTCTGTCCGGGCACAGTGGTGCATGCCTATAATCTCAGCAGCTCAGGAGGCTGAGGTAGGAGTATTGAGAGTTTAAAACCAACCTCAGTAACTCAGTGAGGCGCTAAGCAATTCAGTGAGACCCTGTCTCTAAATAAAATACAAAAAAGGGCTGGGGATGTGGCTCAGTGGTTAAGTGTCCCATTCAATCCCCAGTATAAAAAATAAAAATTAAAAAAAAAAAGAATTATGACTAATTTGACATTTGAAAATGATATTTTTGTTAAGAATTCACAATTTCTTCTACATTCAGTAGCACAACTTTTTTTTTTCTTTTTCTTTTTTTTATTTATTCTAATTAGTTATACATGACAGCAGAATGCATTTTGATTCATTATATACAAATGGAGCACAACTTTTGTTTCTCTGATTGTACACGATGTAGAGTTGTACCATATGTACGGTCATTACAAGTACCTAGGGTAATGATGTCCATCTCATTCTACCATCTCTCCTGGCCCCATTCTCACTCTCCACCCCTCCTTCCCCTATGTCCAAAGTTCCTCCGTTCTTCCCATGCTCCGCCCCTTCCCCATTATGGATCAGCAGCCATTTATCAGAGAAAACATTTGGCAGTAGCACAACTTTTATAAACTCAATACCAATATAGATTTTCATACTAAGGCAATCTTTTTCACCTAACACACTCTACAGAAATTCTATTCACTTAGTTGACTTAAAAGTAAAGCTCATTGCTACTCCTCTTTATAAGATTCTAGTAAGACTTGATAGTTTACCATCCTACATATGCTTATGCTGTTATTTATAAAAACAAATTTTATACAAAGCAAAAAACTAACAAATATATAAGAATGTTCTTCACCTCCACAAGAAAATATGTTTAAATTCATATTCTTGAAATATGTGGCTCTTTTGGTACAGCTTTTGTTTTCCCCCTTTTGATAAACTTTAAAAAAAATAGATGTAAGAAATTTTCACTTCTCTTTTGGATTCTACTGTACCTTCATCCAAATCTGATCCTTTCCTATCCTTAATGTTGTGGAGCTTGGGCATATCCTTCCGTGCCATGCTAAAATCATAGTTGTTGAAGATCAAACAGTATCCCCGAGGTTTATTTTTCATTTGGTAAACTTTGTCTGATGTCTGGAAAACAAAAACCCAATCCAGGCACTTTACTCTGCAAGTCAAACACTGGCGATATAAACAAACAACTTTCCAGGAAGAGGGTGGGCTCCCAGGGGGCTGGGGCAAGTGGGCTCTCCCTTGCCCCAACTCACCCCAACTTGGAGCCATTCCCCTGAAGAACTAGTTCCCTACTGTTCTCACACAGGATCCCTCAGACTTCTGCCCCATCGATAACTGTAAAGTCAGTGTACCTGGGCTGCATGAGCACTTTGCACATACATTAATACGTTAATACCATCCTCATGTCTTTGAGGCAGAGAACATTGTGCCCACGATTGGGATTTAGAAACTTTTGAGAGCTCAATCCAGAACTGCTAAAAATGTCTGTCTTTGGGCTGCTCCACCCTGATTGTGGACCTATTGGCTATCCACTCATCTCATCTGCACTTCTTGGCTAACAGCTGAGAGCCTGCCCATCAGGCAGATACAGTATAGTCCCAGGATGTTTGAAGCTGATATAACCCAGCTCTCAGGACCACTGTAGCTGGTGGAGAGAGATGTTGGGGTTATGTTGTAGGTTAAGAATCCAGACTGTATGCCTGACAGTACTGGCCTGAGGTGGCCCTGTGTGCTGCTTATTTTTCTAGGGCTATTTCATTGCTGGGATTCTTAGCATTTGGTTGCATATCTGTGTAACCCATTGAGGTACAGAAAACAACCCCTCCCCAGGTTAGGAAACCAAATTTCTGCTTCTACATAATATAAGACTTCAGGCAATTTACCCAATGTATTAGGATCTTAGCAAGTTTACTAAGATATCAAGTATTTTTATTAAGTACTTAAGTATATTCAGTATTTACTATCATGTATGCTAAGTATTTACTAATATACTGGGTACATTTACAATACTAGATAATATTAAGATTATAGATTATTTGATGAGAACAATGCTTGTAGAGCATTATTTTACTTTAAAGTGCCACATCACTGTGGTTAATCCTTGATTTTCAGATGGAGAGAGTTCTGGTAATTTTCACAGAGCCCACACTACTAAATAGTTACTCTCAAGCCTAAATCAGGTGTTCAGGGTCTCCTGTGCTTCCTGCCACAGTGAGGAGTGGTGAATGGGGCAAGGCATTAAAATGCATTTGGTGAATTGTTGAAGTTACATAAGTACAACTTATGTTGTCTAGAGAGGAAATTTTTCTTCTGGCTCAAAAGCACAAAGATATGACTAGATTATGAGTACTTGTTTCTTACTCCAAATCATAAAAGAAAAACATTTTTTAAAGGTCATGCTAAAAGGAAAGACTTTGCTTGTTCCAGGTGTGCTAGGCCCCTACCCCAAAGCATCCCCCATTAGGTTGGCATGGCATCTAGAAGATTAGATAGGAGGCCTCCCACCTTCTAGCTATTCCAATACATCTGCCTTTTGTTTTAAAATAAAAATGTAACACACTGGAACTGGAGAGGTCACATTTTAAAAATGAAATGACATTTTTAACTTGTCCTTTCATGGGATTTTTTTTCCCTACAATTCTCAGATTTTTCATTTTCTACCCTTAATTGGTTCATTTGGCAGCTAAAAACAACAACAACAACAACAATAACAAAAAAAAAAACACACAATAAATATAAGATCTAGAATCTGCAATGTAAAAGGAAGAAGGATTTGGAGGTGTCCATGTACCTGTGAGTCACTGTCCTGTTCTCCTGGAGAGTCCGACAATGTCAACATCCCGAAGGACTCCTCCCCTGCAAACAACAGAGAGACATGACTGGAATGAGGCATGGCAGGAAAGAGACTTTGGTAAAGAAATGTGTATTATCTTGGACAATGGTGACCAAGAAATGTCATAATTTTATATGCTTCCACATTGCTAAGTTGAGCTCTATGGTATTTGTGAAATATTCATTTATAAAACACTGGCACAGGATGAATTGACTCAAAAGTACTACTTAATGTACTCTTCAAATCTTAAGCCCAAGCAGACATGGGAAGTAGGGAAGAACTGGATGCATGGATATTACTCAGAGTAATCTTTATAAAAAGGTGCTTCAAAATGCATTTTGCTTGCACATGCACTGGCACACATGCGCACACAGGTAAAGAAGGGCCAGGTTTTATATTTGTATATACAAATATAAAATATTAACAGTAGTAATATTTAGGATGTGATGAATCTCAGCGGGTCTTTAAAATTTTTTCTCTGAATTTAAAATCATCCTCGGTGAGTACGTATGATTTTTGTAATGAGAAAGTAATTAAAAATTTGAAGGAGATCCTGAAGAATTCCTTCTGCTTGTTTAGTCTAACTTCCCCAGGTAGGAAAGAGACAGAGGACTGGAAAAATATAATTTAGCTGAAACATCCACAAGGGAAGTCAGACAGATGATGGGGAGCTTTAGTGGAGGGCAGAACAGGGAGCCTGGTGACTCAGCGGGGGATGGAGGGGAATTAATCACATTTGGCCAAGGGGTCTCCGACCTGGACAACAAACAAACAAAAAAAGTTGTTGAAAAAGGAAGTGACTTAATCAACAAAGTCATTTAAATCTAGCTACCAGTGCAAACCACAGGCAACACATGTCAGTGGGAGGTGCTAGGAGAGAGAAGGGGGAAAAAAAGAAGCAAAAAAGTTAAGTCCTAGCACTTATGGCACACATGCCAGTCTGGGGCTGCGAGGTCTGTCGATGTGCAAAGAAGGTATAACAAGTGACCACCAAACTTTCATCCCAATAACAGGAAGCGGTAGAAAGAGGCATGATGATATCAGAGGGTAAATTAACTCTGCACATCTGCAAGCATTACCATTTGAAAGTGCATCTGGACTTCTTTCAGGACTCATTCTTCTCTCTGAATTAAAAAGAGAAAAACACACCCCAAATATGTGGTCAGATCTGCTTCAGACAGGAATTTATGAATTTGAGAAAATGATTAGCTGATTCAGTGTCAGGTTATTTTTACCTCTGCTTAATTCTTCATAATTCTTAATGATCTTCAGCAGGCTCTTGTTGATTTGTTCACAGATATTTTTCAGGGTTCCCAGGTTTCTCTTTCCTAGGATGAGCTTCTTCTCCATCTCTATGAAAATGTCGAGCAAGCTCTAGGGGACAAGAAACAAAGTGGGAAGACTGGATTGAGCCATACTAGTTTTTATAATATATATATTATATATATATATTATATATATATAATATATATTATATGTATATAATATCACTTTTTCCAAACCAAGGGTTCACCCTTACTTCCCAAGCAGACCCCTGAGAGTGCATGCTGGTCTCCTGCAGCTGACAGGCACCTAGGGAGGCCATGTCCTCTGGCCCAAAAACACAGAAGTGAGAGAATAGAAGAGAGGCCATGTCAGATGTCCCCAGATCCCCAGGCTCTATGCTCAGATTGCCTGTGGTTGTCTTTATGTATGAACCAGGCCTATGTGCATTGGCTGAGACACAGCAGCCTGGTCAGTGACACAGTGACAGCTCTGGGACTCCCTTATACCCCGATGTAGTATAATTTACCTCCAAACCTGAATACACACACACACACAACATACACACACAAATACCATATGCATACCCACACCCACACAATACCACACACACAGACACACAGAAACATACCACAGACGGGGACACACACACACAAACAGAGACACAGGAAAAACAGAGACATACACACAGACACTACACAGAGACACACACCACACATGGATATACATATCATACGTATAAGAGACATGCAATACATATAACAGAGATACATACACCACACACAACATACCCAGAGATACCACCCAGGAATGAAGAAGTGGAGAAAATGTCTCAGACCACCACTTCCTTCCTGCCTCTGCCTGGTCCCACACAGGGTCCTGATGCATAGCCGCAGTACTCCCCTGGCTCCCGAGTCTGCTTGCTCCTGAAGATTAATGTGAGCAGCACTCACAGTGCAAAGGCATGGAATCTACAGCACGCCTGCTGACGGCTTTCCTCTCTCTGGTTAGGAACTAGAATTCAGGTTGCTTTTATCAGAAGAGCCCCTCTCTTTAGCCTCAGAAGTCCCCAGTGGCTGACCAACTCTCAGGACTGCATCTCCAGACAATACCAGGTCTTACCATGTCGTCATCCAGCTTACACTTGGAGATATCCTTGCTCAAAAGAAACTTAAAAGACTTCAATTCCAGTTTGTTTACATCTTCTGAAATCTGAAAAAGCATGACCCTGCGGTGGGAAATGGAGATGGAGACACTTAAGAAATGTTTCCTTAGATCCTTTCAAATTTGCTATGTGGAGTCACAAGGGACTTGACTCAATGGCCTCCCTCCAAAAAAATCTGAGACATGATTTAGGAACTGAGTCCTGAGAGAAAGGCAGGTAGACACACAAGTCTACTGACTTGTGCCTGCCCTGAACAATTAAAAGTTCCATCAACTTTGTCCTTTGGTTCATTCCAGTTAAATGCATCTTGTTTTTCCTTTGTCTTTCACTCTAAGAACAAGATCTCGTTGCAATACAAAAAAGCATTGACTTTTGAAAATGGTACTTTCTACTCTGCATGTCGGATTACCACTTCCTTCATTAAACTGGGCAATGTCCTCTCAGTCTTTCCTTCAGGAGAAGAGCCAGCCAGGTGCAGTGGCACACGCCTGTAATCCCAGCAGCTCAGGAGGCAAGAGGTTTGCGAGTTCAGAGGCAACCTCAGCAGTGAGGCCCTAAGCAACTCAAAACTCTGTCTTAAATAAAATATTTTAAAAGGGCAATAGATGTGGCTTGGTGGCTAAGTATCCCTGGGTTTAATCCCTGGTACAAAAAAAAAAAAAAAAGGAGAGCCAAACTTTTAGTTCTGGCAAACACATCATCTGCTATGCTCCTCACTGCCCCCACGCCCTCCTCCCTTTCCAGCCTGCCCCCTCCCCGTCACCCACTAATGGCCATTGCCTGCCTGTTCTCAGGGCTGCATGTGCTCCACTATGCCTCACTGCGTTCACTTCAGAAGGATCACTCGTATAGTCCCTTTATGAAAGTGTTCAAGTCCCCTTATAGCCTGGTCCATGCCCTTATTATTTTCATAATCCCTGAGGGTGGTAAAGGCAGCATTTGAGCACAAGAGACCCACACGACCTGTGTTAGAACTTTGGCCCCACCATCTGGGAGCTGTGTGACTTTCAACATGTTAGACATTTTTTCCTCATCTGTAGACTGGAGATAATTATATATTCACACCATAGGCAAATACCAAAGATTATGTGAATAAATTTACATGACGTACAGTCACCTCACTTAATGATGGGAAGTTACTCAGTGTTATCATCTGATACATACATCTTCTCAAGAAATCTGATCAATAAATCTGATACATCAATCTTCTCAAGAAATAAATAATCCTTTATTTGGACAAAGGGTCTTTGCAGATAAAAAATCTCATTGCACTGAGATCATAGTGAATTAGAATGGGCCCTAATCCAATGACCAGTGTCCTTACAAGAAAAGGAAAAATCAGACAGACAGACATGGAGATGAGGACATAGGCAGAGACTGGAAGGATGCATCTGCAAGACAAGGAACACCAAGGATTGCCTGCAACAGCAGAAGCTAGGGGAGAGGCAGGGCAGATTCTCCATCAGGGCCTCCGGAAGGAACCAACTCTTCTGGCACCTTCGTTTCTGCACTTGAGCCCCCAGGACTGTAAGAGAATAAACTGCCTCTACTGTTTTTATCCATCTAATTTGTGATACTTTTGTTACAGCAGCCCTCAGAAACTAACACATCCAGATATTTATTTTGCCATTTAAAATCAAAATAGTCAAGCCTCAAGTAGGAAGACATATGACAAGGAACATGCCAGAACCTCAGGTGTCTGAGAATAGAACCAAGGCATTGATAGGCTGGGCTATCAGAGGGTAGTAGCCATCAGCCCTGGCTGTGAGGCCTTTCTATGCAACTTGCCAGTTACTGACAAGCAGAGACAGTGAATGGGCCAGAGCTAATGCACACATAAAAAATTGCTAAAAGGAGAATTAGAAATTAAAGAGTGTCTGAAAACAAGATGTTGACAGACGGGCATGGTGGCACATACCTGTAATCTCAACCACTTGAGGCCAGGAGGATTGCAAGTTCAATGCCAACCTGGACAATTTAGCAAGACCCTATCTCAAAATAAAGAAACGTTAAAAGGGCTGGGGATGTAGCTCAGTGGTAGAGCACTTCTGGGTTCGATTCCTAATACCACCCACCAAAAAAAAAAAAAAAGAAAGAAAAAGAAAAATTAAATGAATATTGAAAGAGCATAACGTGTTTCTATTTTTAAAGTCATGAAGTTGCAACTATATGTGGCTCACCATTGCCCTGTCTCCCCAGGTTGAGAGAAGGTGAGTTTCAGGGCCTTTGTCATCGCTGTTCTCTTCAACAGCCAGCAATCGGGTGCTGCTGTGCTAACTGGACCTGAGCAGTCTCTGTGGGTCAGGCCTGGCAGCAAACACCTCACTAGGGAATAGTGTCATTTTGAGTCTTTAATTATGGGATAAAATCCTTAAACCCACTGAAAATTTCCAGCAGGTGGGAGGGGCTTCCAGGCCAGGAAACCATGATGCCTTGCTCAGTGGCAAAGTAGGCAAGTTAAGTACATGGCGTGAACATCAGCAGAGGAGGGACGCCAAGATGAGAGAGAAGGAATTAGAACATTTCAAAAAACTATTTTAACGTCAGCATACCTGCAGGAAGTTTCACTTTGGAAAGTAAATATTTTATGACTGTGGTAATTTTTTCTCTGAATTTCTTTTTTTCGGGGGCGGGGGGGGTACCAGGGATTCAACTCAGGATCACTTAACCACTGATCCATATCCCCAGCCCTATTTTGTATTTTATTTAGAGACAGGGTCTCACTGAGTTGCTTAGCGCCTCACTGTTGCTGAGGCTGGCTTTGAACTTGTGATCCTCCTGCCTCAGGCTCCCAAGCTGCTGGAATTACAGGTGTGCACCATTGGGCCTGGCCCCCTAAATTTCTTAATCAGGCTCTGGTGAGACATCTTTTTTCCAGAGCCTCCCAACTCATGGAACATAGCCAATCCTCAATCAGTCATGCCCAGAAAGATGTGTCCATTCAACCTGTACCTCCAGGTCCCCACACTGTGAAGTTTCTACGTACCTATAGGCAGAAATCTGGGCCTTGCCAGGAATCTGAAGTTCCCACACCATATCCTCCTTGCTGGTATTCAGGATAGTGGTCAGCAGGTCCAGTCTATTAATTCGGAAAAGCAACTCCTTCAAGAAGGACAGATTGTTTTCCTCCAACATTCCCTTTTCCTGAAGTGTCTGGAATAGCTTCAAGGCATCCTTGATGGGCTCCTGCTTCTTTTGTGGGATATATTCCAGACATAAGAACTTGAGGGAGGACAACTCATCGCTGCCCAGTTGTTCCCCAATATCGTAAAGACATTTGTTGAAATCCATCCTTGTCAAAAGGTAGGAGAAGTAACCTAGGTCAAAAGATGATATAATGCTCAGGTGAGTAGGAAATGTACCATCCCTCCCCCCCCAAAAAAAATACCATCCCCTGGTTTCTTCCTTCATCAAATGCTATTATATCTACTCTCTGCCCATCTGTCTGTAGATACAGGAAAGAAGAAGGAAAAACAAGTTCCTTTTTGCAAGTAGCTTACTAATTAGGGAAGTAGACAAAGAAGGCAATGGTCAGAGAGTTGTGACAAGGCGCAGTGGGAATACAGAGGAAGGAGCACTGGGAGAAGGGCTCTCTATAGGGAAAGGACTTTGGGGAGGATGCAGTAAAGGACAGTTGTCACAGGAAACATTTTATGCATAAGATGGAGGCAAGAATTTTCAAGTTAGTTCAGGCAGGCACAAAGAGCTCAATAAAGTAACCACTAAGGATGTGGGTTGGGGAGTGATGTTACAAAGAAATGAAGATGTAGCCAGGAACCATGCCATGAAAGGCCTCATACTGTGGGGCAGAGGGATTAGGCTTTGTCCTGGAGGAGACAGGGAACTAAGAACATATTATAAAAAAGAGAATGATGTCATCTGATTTGGGATTCACAATGACAGTGAAGTGGATAAATTGGAAGAGTAGGAGGCAGGAGACCTACCAGGAGGAGGCATTTAAGTAGTGGCAGGAAGGAGTGATGGCTTTAATCATGGGACAGTGGTAGGAGGAGACACAGTGTCCACAAATGCCCTGAGGACCAGCACCTACAGCTATCAGAACTCAAAGACTGGAAACTGAACCAGGTCAACCCTGACAGCCCTCTCAGTCCAAACAGTCTCTAAGATTAGGGAATGTTTTCATAGGCCTACATGTTTAAGATGGAGAGGATAGTGTTTCAGAAAACCCTAGATAATCTTCAAGCCAGCAGGCCAGAACCTGGGATTTCTCCTCCCTTGAGGCCAAGGCTTGACCATCTTGTCTAGTTTCTTCCCCACGGTTACTGCGCTAACCAGCCTGTGTCCACAGTGAAAGGAGTCCCTGGAGAGTGTACTGGATTCTTCAGAGGAATCTGAAGACTCAGACACAGTTCCCTGTTGCAAGCTATAGTGTCACTATAAATGCCATGTGGTGCATCATCAGGGAAGATGGGCAGTGGCAGTGCTTAGAGACAGGGGCTCCACTAAACATCAAAACCTGGTTGTGACACTGGCCATACGGCCTTGGGCAGCTCTCTTCCTCCTCTGTAAAATGGGGATCAGAAGTCCATCCATATCTTAGAGGTGTGGAGAATCTATGAGATAACACTTGTAACCATTTAGAACAATGGCCAGCAACTAATGAATGCAGAGCAAGACACTGAGAGCCCCTGGCCCTGAGGCCCTGAGGCCAAGGGCATGGGACTTCCAGCACTTCTCTCACCCTCCTACTTTTCTCATTTCATCAGTTGAAAAATGTGAAATTCATTTGGAAGTGGTGGTTTTCATACTCCCCCTAGTTGAGGGGTTCTTTGTTGAAGTCTTACTCAAACCTGCCCCGCCTGTAAGAGAGGATTCTGGATAGCTACCATTGAGAGCCCAGCACCATCATTTCTTTCTTTCTTTTTTAAACATTGATATGTTATTTAATCAGAAATAAATAATGCGGTCACATTATTTCCCTTATAAATATCTCACAGATCAAAGAAGAAAAGTAAATAAAAAGTGCTTTGAACTAAGTGATAATAAAAGCTTAAAATAAGGCTGGGGATATAGCTCAAATGGTAGAGTGCTTTCCTTGCATACACAAGGCCCTGAGTTCGATCCCCAGCACCACAAAAAAAAAAAAAAAGCTTAAAAGATCAGACTCTCTGGGACAAAATAGTACTCAGATGAACACTTATAACTTAAAGTATTTTAAGAAAGAAGTTAGATTAACAATCAAATTATTTTCCAATTAGGTAGTAGGAAGGAAAAAAATAAGAGTAGGAGCAGAAATATGTGAAATAGAAAAGAAATAACACAGCTAAAAGTTGATAAAAATCTAAGAAGTCTAATCAAGAAAAAATATCAATGAAAAGGGCAGCCTCCACCATTTCTATGACTCCACAGATGCTGGTTTGGGCCCTCCTCAAACAACCTTGACCTTGGACCTGTTCCCTCCCCTGAAACAAGATGGATGGGTTCCTGAGTCTGTAAGTTCCTTAAATTCTTGAACATTCATGGATGACTGCACCAACTCTGACCCTGTCACTCAAAGGCAGTGACCAGGTATTTTCTACATCTGATGCTAAAGTAAAAATACTTTTGATTTGCACATTAGAACATGTTTTAATGTTTTGGGTTTTTACTTTATGTTTTTGTACTGAGGATTAAACCCAGGGGCACTTTACCACTAAGCTACATCCCCAGTCCTTTTTATTTATTTTGAGACAGGGTCTCACTAAGTTGCTTAGGGCCTCACTAAGTGGCTAAGGCTAGCCTCAGATTTGTTTTCTTCCTACCTCAGCCTCCTGAGCTTCTGGGATTACTGGCATAATTGAGCCCAGTTTAATTTTTTTTTAATGAACTTTTTTTTTTTTTTAATTCAGAAAGATGGTAGATTAGAGGAAGGGTGCACTTCCCAGCAGTTCCTGAGCTCAAGATTTTAAAAGTGGCACATTGTGGAGTTTTTGCCTGTCTCTAGGTGATCTGTTCCACCTTGACAGCTGAGACCAACAGCAAGTCCTCCCAACACTCTCACATCCCTAGTGATTATAAAGTGCTAATCAGTTGCCTCTGAATATAATTGAAACAAAAAACAGGAAAATGTCAGCAAATTCTTCTAGAAAAGTTTTTCAAAACAGAGTTGTAATCTTGGCAGAACTGGACAAAGAGATACGAGAATCACTTATGCAGAACCAGTCTTTAGCAAATAGTCCTGAAGCTAGCACCGCACTCTCAGGACCGCTCTTAATAAGGACTTCCAGGATCACACAGAGCAGCATCTTGTCACAGCCCAACAGAAGGCAGCTTTGCAGCATACACCTGCACATTCATCTGGTACTTCACAACTCAACACTCTGCATTTGGGAATCTTATTCTTCCCATTCCACCTCACTGTGACCCAGAATGAAGAAAAGATCTGCGGTGAAGATGACCTTGTAACACCAAATGCCCAAGCTACTCTCATTCAATGCTATACACACTGTGACATTCAGAATTTTGGTGAACTTTCATATTTTTTGCTTCCTTAAAAGAAAGAAATATATAAGTGAAAACAAAAAGAAGGAGAACTAGGATGGTGAGAGCTTTAGAAACTATATTATCTGAAAAATTCATTATGCTGCCTGGGATGAGAACTTTTTTGTAATGATGTTTGATTTTTTAGCTCTAAATCAGACTCTGAATTGGATAGTCCCATAAAATCAGCCCTTAACAACAGAATATGTTATGTCTACAGTCAACTTGCAAAACCCATTTGTTGTATTTAACTTTAAAGAAATGAGGGTGCTTTTTGAAAATGTGAAACAAAAGGATTAAATAACTTACATTTATATTTGTAGTCCATAGGATTGATATATATATATATATAGATATAGATATAGATCTATCTATCTATCTATATATCTTTCAAGTTTAGATTCAATGTATCATACAGAAATCATCTTTGTAAATTCACAGCTATTCTCATATTATCTTAAAAGAAAATCCAAGATAAAACTAAGTTAGCAACCAGTCTTAAACATCTTTTATAAATATATGCCATTATAAATGATGTGACAATGCTATTCAAAACAGTTATAAGGAATGTGGTGGTTTTAAAATTTGCACATGCTCTTATTTAGTGTTAACAACATACATGGTACGTCGGCATGGTTTTATTGTTCACTTTTTTATCTAATTAAAAAATTTTTAATTATGCAAGTTGAAATAAAAGATTTAAAAGGTGAGAAGACTGTTTCTCAGTGAGGTGGGTAACTAAGGGAATTCCCTGAAATTCAACACTGGACAGTAAAAGATATGATAGAGACACAGAAAGTCAGACACTTCAAACATAATATAAGAAAGTATGTTATGGAGGTGTCGGTGATGTTGGTGGCAGCAATGCCAGCAGCTACAGCTGTTAAAGGGGAGCAGAGGCAGAGAGAGAGAGGAAAGCACTGTGAAAAATCAGCTTGGCGGGAAACTGAAAAAAGAGAGAGAGGTTGGTCTTAATGAGCCCAAAGAGGAAGGGGAAGTTGTTGAGTGAAAAGCAACCCACATCACTCAGACCATGGGTGGATAGCCTGACAGGAACCATATATAAGTGGCCACATGGCAGTGAGCAGAGGCAGGAGATCAATAGTTCATAGCAGAAGTTGCCAGCCTGGCCCAGTAGTCATCTATTGTGGGGTCCAGGGTATGCCTGGAAAAATGGAACTAAACAGGTGAAGAGAGAGTTGTGCTAGCTTCAGAATACTGAAGATAGAGTTCTTCATAGCTGGCATCCTGTATGAGCTTTTAAGAAGATGCCAATATGGGCTGGGGATGTGGCTCAAGCGGTAGCGCGCTCGCCTGGCATGCATGCGGCCCGGGTTCGATACTCAGCACCACATACAAACAAAGATGTTGTGTCCGCTGAAAACTAAAAAATAAATATTAAATAATTCTCTCTCTCTCTCTCTCTCTCTCTCTCTCTCTCTCTCTCTCTCTCTCTTTAAAAAAAAAAGATGCCAATAACTGGTCATAGCATCTGCTCCAGGTCTGATCCTACGTAATTCACATCCATCACAGTGAATGTGAGAACTCTGGAGGTTTGGACTATGCAACCTAAAAGTGGAATTTATGGGAAGCCCCTGAAACCCAGACATCTAGCAGGGATTGGCATTTCCCCAGCAACAGGGAGTGTAGATCAAAGTTCAAATACCCACCAACAGAGTTTCAAAGGTCAGCCAAGACTAAATCCCAAGTACTAGAACTTCCAATTTAGAACTCCGCACCCCCAAGGGAGTACACAGCTAGTCAGCACCCCCATCTACTCCATCCAACACTATGAGATGGGAAGCTGAGAGCTACTACACCCAGCTTTGGCTCCTGG